CGCATGTGGCTCGAGAGCCGCAGTTTGCCGACCATGGGCCTAAGTTAAAGCTCATCCATTAAAGGCACACGTGACACCATTGTGCTTTCCAGTCGTTCCCAACTAATCCTGTTTGCTGTAGTTTCCTTAAGGACCACTCTCTCCTGGATCAGACCCTTCTCAGCAATTACCATCAGGATCCTGAGGCCTGCCTGCCCCTTGCTGCCTCACAGTTGTACTCTGACCTCGCTTTTGATGGTTTCTGTCTTAGGCTTGTTTCTTCCTGTATGAAAAAGCTGCCCTTCAAGTGTAGCAGAGTGCGGAGGGGCGCCGGCCACAGGCTTTCTCTCTGTGTGGTGTCCTCTCCGGGTTTGCTTCACCTGGACCTCTTTCGCACATGCTTTCCTCATCACGTGGGAGCAGGCCCATCACAGGTCTCCGCACAGATACCACCTGAAGGCAGCCGCTCTGGGGTCATTCTGTGCTGAATCGGTGTGTGCTTTGGATGTGGCCGCTCATGTTCTCATTAAAGTCTGCTCCTAGGACCTGAGGGACTGGCAAGCTGAGTCTTTCGCTCTGGGCCACCCGGGGGGGCTTCCGCTCTGGGCCACCCGGCTGGGGGGGGGGGGGTTTAAACGGCATTTTCTGTTTGTTTGCTCTTTTATTGCTCTCATTGTGAAGGTAAAATGTTTATTCACATGCTTGCTGTGTTAATAAACATCTCAGAGGAGCTAAAAGAAGAAAACACTAATTAGCCATGTTTCTTACCATTGTTTCTCATCATGACGGCATGCCTAGGTGGCGATTACAGATGGCATGCATAGAAGTTTTCAGTCAATTGTATGGTGTTTTGGAGCCTTTAAGTGATACAACTAGTATGTTAGTGCATGATCTATGCATGTAATGTATACAGTACTTATACATAACAAGTGGTTGAGTAAGCTTTGGTTGGAAAGGTGTGCTTTAAAGTGATTTGCTGACAGGTGTGCCTGAGCCCAAGCTGCCTGGAGAGACGTGCAGAGCTGTCTGCCGAGGCCAGGCCCTGCTCTGGGACAGGAACCAATCTCTAATGGGTTCTTTACTTCCTTTGCACATGGTTTACAGCCCAAGAACCTAAAACTGCAACAGACTAAAGCATGAAAAAAGCAAGCCATAGAGTCTTGTAATAATATCCCATCAGTTTGTTTGTTTTTTAAGTAAGAAAAGGGGAGGAAAACCCCTTATATTTGTGTCTTTTTGTCTCTGTGTGTGTATTTTTTAAACATCAGAAAGTTCTGAGATTTCACTCAAGATGATCGTCAGCTTTGCTTATTTCAAGGAGATGGGATTAGAGAAGAGGGAGGGAAATAATTCTTGTATTCTGCGTCTTAGGATAAATGTCAGAATTATTATTGTAATTTTACTAGCACGTTTAATTAGAATCTTAAAAGTGGGGTCCGTACCACACCGTGTGTGCAGGGTAGTATACAAGGACGCACCACGTCCCCCGCCCGGCGCTGTGACTCACGGCTCGTGTTACACGGCTTTCCTAGTGCAGCTACAGCTCATGGTATTTTATACGCCTGGCGCAGGGCCAGCGCCGAGTGTGTTTGAAGGAAGGAAAAAGACCTGTTTTAAGGGACAGGAACATTCTTTAAGTAATGCGGTGAGCATCTTACTGAGCCCTAACTCGGTGCCCAGCCCCATGCCAGGGCCTGGCTATTCGACAGAATCGCTGACGCTGGGGACCCGGCACTGCAAAAGGCCCAGGAGAGAATGAATGGCGGGTTTGCCCAGGATGGTACCCTTAACATTTGACCTTGAAAGAAGCGGTGGCGGAAAGATGGGGCTTGGAAGCACATGAAGCTGAAGTCTAATAGCCTGTCCCCCTCCCATGGAGTTTCTCTTTGTTATCTATAAACCTGCCTTGAAGGTGTGAGGGGACAGTCACAGTATGGAGGCCACTGAACGGGTACTGCACGGGCACTGCTGACCAGCGCGGTCATCATCACAGTAACGAACTCATAAATGAGCCGTTGTGGCCGCATTACTGGAAAAGGAAGTCACGGCGTGGTGCCTGCTGCGGGGTTAAGCGCTGAGACATGGGAACAACCTTCCACCTGACAGAACATGTCTTGTCACTAGTGCAGGGGACTCAGCTGCCCAAAACAGTTGAAATCCTGACAGAGTGGCCCTTTCTGGTTTGGTCGGTAAGACAGGATTATTTTACCATTTTTCCAGGCCTGAAAGGAGTCCCTAGCTCTTAGAATTATCTTACCTCCTGCAGCAATCCCAGGAAGGCCAGGGCTTCCGTATAAATACTTGGGGAGCATGGATCCCCATAATGGGTGGATCAGATTTCTCCGTGTCCACTTTCTCTCCAGCCCCCACAGGCTCCTGGCAGCTGGGGGAGGTGGGGATCTTAAAACGGCTCTGTCCTCCCTCTGGCATGCCCTGAACCGCTCCAGCCACTTCCTGCCTCCCATGCAGCCACACTCATGTCTGTGACAGCGCTTCCCGCCCTGTGGCCCCTCCAACTCCCTGTGTTTTTCTCCTTTCGCTAAACCCCCGAATTTACATTCCATTCAAATTGCTGACTGTACTCTGTAATCCACACACACACACCCTGTCGGCCCTGAGCTCCCCTTTTCCTCCACCAGCATCCTGGATCCTCGCCCTCCCTGTCCCCGTCAGAAACCTGCTTGGTAAACCCTAACTGCATTCAGAGGGATGTGTGTGTGTGTGTCATCTTTCCAGTGAATTGTCATTCTTAGGTTTATGATGCCGTCTGTAAGAAAAATCCTTAAAATGGGAGGCACCCATGGCTGTGCTGTTTGATGTTAAATGCACCTTTCTGTCCGCATCGGTGTAGAGATAATTATGTCTGATATACAGGCCGGGCACCATTCTAAGCACCTTACACTTAATTCCCAGCGTGTCTACCTCCATAGGACTATTTCAAGTTTTACATAGGTATGTGTATATACATATGTGATTAATGTATACACACACGTCCACAAATATAGGTATAGATACTGACTATCTGGTTATTCAGTTGTGGAATTAGCAAAACATTCAGGCTCCCTGCCCTGGCCTGTGCTGACATACCTTCTGCCGCTCTCAGACCACATGTTAACGTTTCATCTGCCCAGGCAGCGTGACTCTCCCTTGCAGAGTTCTGGGGAAGGTTATCTGTGATGCTGTGACAGGCATTTGGTCAGAAAGGGCTCTTCCTGGTGGGTGGGCACACGGGTACTCTGTTATCGTTTGAACTATTTCATCATTTCGAGCAAACACGCCGAAAGCCTGATGCTTACGCTTTACTCACCACGGAGACACTCCGCATGGAAGCGGTTGGCAGGCAGGTAGCCGGTTCTTCTCTGTCGGGCGTCGGATGGGAGGCTCAGTGTGAGGGAGCGCTCAGGCCTCCGGCAGAAGGGGTCGGGGTGACAGCAGCTCCAGAGAGAGATCCAACCCGGCGCCTGTCTGCCCAGCCGATGTGGCCCTTCTCTTGTGTGTCTCTGAGCCTCTTCTTGGAAGGAACGCGGGCAGCAAGCAGAGCTGCGCCTCCTCTCTGTTCCTGTCCCAGCCCCAAAGCTCACCTCCACTGTGGGCGTCGTGAATGCTGAACGTGCTGGCGATCGGGAGGCTGTGGGCCTCGTTCCATCCCCCGGATGGCCTGACCCTTGTCCTCTGCTGTGCTGGGCCTGCCTCCCCGGTGCAGACCGTGTTCCACTTCTCCAGTGCCCGTTGCCCCCACGCTGTGATTGGCCCCCAGGGGGAGGGGAGTGTCTTCGAGAGTGGAATATTTAAAAAAAAAAAATTATTGATATTTGAGAGGAAGGAGGGAGAGGGTAAAGAGATAGAAACATCGATAAGAGGGAGACATTGGTCAGCTGCCTCCTGCATCGCCTCCTGGGGACTGAGCCGGCAACCCGAACATGTGTCCTGACCGGGCATCGAACTGGGGACCTCTTGGTTCATGGGTTGATGCTCAGCCGCAGAGCCACACCGGCTGGATGAGAGTGAAATACTTTACATTTCATCTTGATTGTCCAACAACCGAGGAGGCTTAAGAAGGGAATGTGTCTTACATTCCTGGAAGGGAAGTCAGCAAATCCACGCCAGCCACCGCTTCCTGAGCCTCCCACGGAAAACCGCGGGGCCTGGCTGCTGGGTGGGGACCAGAGGTGAGCCGGAAGCCATCCTGCCCCTCGCGGTCTGGGGCCTGGAAAGAGCTCTGCTCACTCAAACATGACAGGACACGGCGGGAAATACCACGGAGGAGGCTCAGAGGATGGCGGGCAGGGAAGGATCAGGGCCCGCTGAGGGAAGGCTTTCTAACGAAAAAGGGGTTGAATTTATAGGCCTTTAAAGATAGGGTCTTAAAAGTTAGGACTGTGTTAGATGCACATTTGTTCATTTAGTCATTCAGTAGACATTACACGTCTCCTGTGGGCCTGTGTACAAATCCACGCCTCCCTGTCCTCATGACAGAGGGCAGGGGAGGGGGTGGCCGTGGAGAGTGGGCGTGGCATCTGGAATGCTTCCACGGGCACGGGCCACCCTCACCTCCGCGCACACCCCCTGGGCCCGTGCCAGGCCCGCCACGCTGCGCAGGCCTCCGTCCCGCACGCGCCAGGCGGACAGTCCGGTGGCAGCACGTCACTTACCGTGCTCACTGCGGGGCCAGGGCTCAGCACAATGGACGGAGATGAACACTCGGTGCAGGGAGATTCGTGTTAGAACACGTGGGCTTTTCTAAGAACTTTCTCTTCGTTTCCTGGTCATGGTAGCTTCTTACTTGCTTGCAAATTGGATGGTGACTGGACCCCTCCACCTGTGGGGAGTCCATGGATTGATGGGGGTTGAAGTGAACAAAAGGCTTCGACGGAGAAAGGGAAACCTCCTTCCGGAGTGAGATTGCTAACCGCCTCCCGAGCGTGTGCGGTGCATGATAGAGGGCGTGTCTCTGCCGCGGGGAGTTTCCAGTGACGATCCGTGCTCACAGCAGCTCAGCTCCTCTGTCTCTTCTTTTTCAGACCATGTACAAAATGAGGAAAACTATGCCCAAGTTCTGGACAAGTTCGGGAGTAATTTTTTAAGTCGAGACAACCCGGACCTCGGCACCGCTTTCGTCAAATTTTCGACTCTCACGAAGGAGCTGTCCACCCTGCTGAAAAACCTGGTGAGCCGTTTCCTACGTGGTCTCTTTATTGTTTACAGCCAAACAGCTTTTGAGTCCTAAGCATGGAGTCACAGGTAAAGAAAGGCCACGGTGAGACTCCTAGAATTCATCCCTCCCGCCCGGTGACAGCGGGGAGATCGGCAGAGTCGGAGAGAAGCGGGTTGACCTCAGTTCCTTTCACCACCACCACCCCCGTTCTGTCTCCGTCTCGGGGGACTGAGCAGCTTCTGCCTTTTCATTGGTTGGAAGAGCGATGACGCTGTCTGTGTCAGACACGCCAGTTCCATCTCACGTGTGTGCAGATGACCATGCATTTTGAGCCCTGATTTACCAATTAATTAACCTCTCCCATGTCCCTCGTCCTTATAACCCGCTGCCAAGAAAAAAGATGGTGAGGTTCAGGGAATTGGGGATCTCCGAAGCCCATCCCTATGATCCGGGCACACAACTGCTGACTCTGGGAGGAGACACAGGGTTGGGGGTGAAGACCTGGTCGCCAGGCGGTACTGTCTGGACACCCCCAGGTTATGCCCACCCGCCTCACGGCTGTGTCCACACGGAGAAAGTGTTCTGTGAGATGATTTAATTAGGGCTCGTTTCTCCTGAGTCCCGCAAGGCAGGAGCACAGGGAGGTTGGAAGGTGCCCCAGGAAAAGCTCCCCCAGCCTTTTCCGGAGGAGGAGCTGGAGCAGTCTCTGTCTTTTCCCTGCCCCATCTCTTGTGCATAGTGCTTCTTGGCCTCCTGTACGGATCCAGATCTCACACTCGATGCCCTGACCCCAGTTGTTCAGATGTCTGATAGACACTGCGGCCTAAAGAGGGAATCTTGGAAAAATGAAACCTTTCTGTAGAACATTAACCCGAATAGCTGACAAATCAGAATATTTCTCCCCTGTTGTGCTGGATAAATACACGTATGTATGTGTCTGTCTTCCTGCAGTTTAACTCTAATTGGTGATTTAGGCCATTGACTTCGTCTTAAAGTGACAATCTTAAAGAAAATGAAAGTTGAAGGTAGAAATATGTCTTTTTTTTTTTTTTTTTTTTTTTTTTAAAGCTCTCAAAAGGGTCGTTTTTACCTCAGCTCATGCGTATGCCTAGCCTTTGGGAGTTTTTGATACATCCGTGATATTTCTGTAAATCTTACATTATTTCGGTCTCTATTCAGAAGGACCCTCTCATTTCTCCTTCCTCTGGGCTTCCACTGCCCTTTTGCTGGTGGCGTAGCTCAGAGGGAGGTGTGGCGGGAAGAAAGGAAGTGACAGCAGATGCCCTTCCCTTGGTGGTGGCTGGGGAGGGCCTGCCGGGGGGAAGCTGTTTGCCCAGGTCGCTCTTTTCCCAGGGGTACCGCGCCAACCTCGCGTTTCCAGGAGACCCATCTGTTTGGCTTCGGCCAAGCGTCGTCACTTGCACGTTTCCGGGACCAGTCCGTTTCTGCCCTTCCCCACTCAGCAGGGCCCTTCACGCTGTGTGTGTCTGCCATCCACTCAGGCCAAAATCCCACCCTCACTTCTCTGCCGTGCCTTCACCGCCAGTCTGCAATCTCTCTTCGTTTCTCTGGTATCTCTCCCTCTAGTCAGAGTCCTTTATGTGGTCGGCATCTCTCAAAGGTGAAGTGACTAGCTGTTTCCTCCAGGAGTGGACCTGCCAGGCCGGGGCGTGTGGCTGGGGAAGGCTGCCTCTCAGTGGGAAGAAGCCACAGGCACGCGAACACAATCCAGTCCATCAATGGTGTTTACAAGGCTTTGGTGTCAAGGTTTGAAGTGCATGGATGGCTTTTGGTTGGTGGTGTATGCTAGGTGACCTTAGCATTTTAAAACATTATGATAAATATTCCTTTCGTTGGCTTACCAATCTCTCTGAACCCATCCTTCCTCCAGCCAAAGATGCCTTCCTGCTCAAAGCCGGCTGCAGACATCACATTATTTGTTTTGCTGAAGCGGGGGCTATTCCTTATTTCCATGCCTTCATAGCTCCTGGTTTTCTACTTTGAATGCCCTTTCGTAGTTAAATGTATTCATGAACGAGGCTTTCTTTATAATGCAGCTTTCTTGTCTTTAAAAAACAAACAAAAAACACGAAAGGAAAACGAAAGAACAAAAAGAAAGGATGCTGTTGAGTTTTAGCTGTTTCCAGTTATGTTTTGTTACTCACGTGATGAACACAAAACGGAAATGATATCTCATCTTCCTTTTCAAGGGAAGCAGCGAGGCCATTGCCTGGGAATCTCTGTTCCCGGGTCAGGCCTGCGTGGCCCGCAATGCTGGCAAGGCCGGGAGTCAGCCCACTGCTCCGTTCAATCACCAAACCACAGAGCGGGGCCGGGAAGGAATAGCCGTGGATGGAAATAGGTTCTCCGTGGGCAGAGGGAAACCACTGGCCCCAAGAGCCCCTGTGGAGCAGTAGTTTTAGAAAATACATGCGAACCCTGTGTGAGGTTAGCAGGCGGTGCCCAGAAGGACCCTCTGCCTCTGGCTCTGTGGTCCCTGAGCCTCCGCAGAGCAGAGTTTGCCTTGGAGCCCAAGCGCCCCCAGCAGGTTGAGGGCAGCGTTGCTTCGGAGCCCGGGAAGCCCAGCGAAGATTTCTCCATCTGCCTAGCATTTCCTGTTTGCAGTCTGGCTGCAGGGCATTGTGGTTTGGGTTGAGGATGCTTTTATCTTTTCTTTCTTCTTCTTTTCTTCCCCCTCAAAAGAGAATAGCTGGACAGGCACAGGCTGGATGTAGATCTCTGGCAGATGATTTCTCAACTTCTTTGAAACCCTGAAAACTGTGGAGAGCCTGGGTATACTCAACGGAGAATTGGCAGCCACTGGGTGCCCTGGGTTTAAAAAACCTCCTCTTTTCGCAGAATGGCGATGCATCGAGGGGAGGTTCGGTGTGACCCCAAACATCCCCTTATGTCCTGGTGCGTCCTTGCCCGCTTGTGTCACGGGACAGTCTCTGCAAAGCCATGCAGCCCTGTGGGTGGAGGCAGTTAAGAGAGAGGTTTTCTTTTCCCTTCTGTGATAAACGGACATGCTCCACATTAAAGTTTGATTCCTTGTCCGGAATCGAACCTGGGGCCCTTCAGTCTGCAGGCTGACGCCCTATCCACTGAGCCAAACCGGTCAGGGCAAGTCTGCTTTCTTACACAGACACAGCGTGTACTGTGAGGTGTTCCTTTCTCTGTATGGGGCAAGCCTGTGTGCTCGTTGATTTAATTTATTACGTTTTTAACGTGAGTCTTGGAGGTGCTTCCTGAGTAAAAGCTTATTGTTGTAAAACGTAATGGTGATAGAGATGTTCAGTGAAGGCAAGGAAGATGTGATTTGATACCACTCGAGGTGTGGTTTTGTTCTAGCGTAAACATAACAAATCACACACGACATGCATGGAAATGAAATTAAATCTCTGAAAATTGATCGCTGCAAACTAAGTGACTAATTACTTCAAGCACAATGAAGAAATCTTGAGGGTCGGGATGTCTTTGTCAAACCATCGTGAAGCTAGAAAGGCTCTTTTTCCTTTTGCTTTCCCGTTTATTTGGGTCTTAAAGTCTTCGCCGCTCCCCCTGTTCTTACAGCTATCCTGAAATGAAATCAGATGTTGCAAAAATGCAAAGGAAAGTAGTGCTTTCCTTTTCATTCTTGACGTAGGGAGATGATGCTAAACGTAACCCAGCATTTACTTCCATTGAATTCATCAGAACATAACGCCTCCTTCTGCATGAAGGCAGTCTCGTGTTCCCCGGTTCTCCTACACCCGCCCATTTTTCTCTGTAAAGCTTCCAGGAGAACCATGCTTTCCCTTTAAATTCAGGCCTGTCCTTCCGAAGCCGTTGGCACGATGGAGTAGTTGGGTCCCCGCCTTTCCGCAGGCCTTTTCCAGGTCTCCGGAGCAGCCGCTCACCTTTGCTCTCCCCTCGCCATCGTCGTCTCGGACCACAGCCCGGTGAGCTCTTCTCTGAGGGATGTGGGACTCCCCCAGGCAGTGGTGCCCAGGAGACCTGGCATCTGGCTCACCTAGAAGCCTCGTGTACACATGGTGGTTGCACCTCGCTCTCCGAGAATCCAACTGGGTTTGACATTTCAGCTCTAACACGCGTCCAGGGGGTGCGTACGCTGCTGGCGGCCTGAGGGCCACGTTCTGAGAACCACTAATGAGGATGGTCATTCCGGACAGAGATTCGTAATCCCCTAGGGCTGTGGAGAAGCTGCACCTTTGTTCCTCCGAATCCATCACCTAATTAATGACTTTCCCCTTTATCCTCTCCCTCTGGTTCCTGTCTTGTATTAAATCAGATCACACGTTGAGTGAGAAATGGGCTGCTGGTCGATCATATCGCCCTCTTGTGTGTCTGTGTCATATTTCTTCTTAATAACTTTCTGAATACAAAAACAATGCCAGTGCACTCTTGGAAACGTAGAAAATACAGGGAAAAGGGGACTAAAATAAAAATCACCACTAACCCCCACTCCTAGGGAGTTGAGATTTATCTATATCTCCGTGTCCTCTAACCATTTTTCAGTTTTCACATACCTCTTTTTTATGTGTTTTATTTTACCCCTGAACTTTTAGCAACCGTCAGGTTTATGCTGTGGTGCTGTTTTATAGCCCAGCTTTCACTTATTTATGTGCTTCGCAGTGTTTTCCTGTTTGGGGAAGTATCCCAGCCCGAGGCCCTTCGTTCAATTAGGAGCATACCGCCTCCGGGGCAGGGCGGCCTGGGTGAAGGGGTGGGAGCCCCGTGCCCAGCAGTACCCTTTCCTGGGTCTGCAGCACCCGGAGGCCATGGCTGTGCCCAGCTGAGGAGAAGCCCGTGTTCCTCTAACTTCCTTCCCCAGCCTCCGAGGTGCCCTTCCTGGTGTCCCTGCTTCCCACTGTGTGCAGCTGCACTGGGTGTAGGGAGATGGCGCCATTGCACGTGCTTGAGGATGGGTACTGAGGAGCTGGCCCGGTCACCGGCTGGGAGCTGGCTCGTTGTTTTAATTGGATCGGCGTCCGCCTCACTTTCAGGAAACCATCTCTGCCTGTGAAGGGGAGGAGGGCAGTGGGGGGAGGTGTCAGAATTAACGCAGGTGACAAAGCTAACCGAGGCACGGCATGGAGGTGGCGTGGAGGTGCCGTCGCTAAGCTGTGCTGCCCTCGCGCTGCCCTCGCCGTCCCTCTGCCTGGGCTCCTCGGGCAGCTCGGACACCCACCACAGGCCACATGGTGGCCAGAAAGCACAGGACAGGGGCCCACGGCTGCTTCGTGGCTCCTGCCTTGGGATCTGGTCAGTTAGTGAGCTGAACCGATGAGACACCTCCCTTAAGCTTCACCTTCTAGAGGGGAGAGATGGGTCAGTATTTAGGTAAGCAAGGTCCTTTCATTCGTGGTGAAGCTATAAGGTCAGGTAAAAAAGATCAGGACAGAAGGGGTGAGTGTGTGTGTGTGTGTGTGTGTGTCCATAGAGGAACACTGTGAAGTCATTACCAACAGCCGGGATTTCGGGGCTATTGGTACCCTATCTGGTAGTTGTAAGGGATAAATGGTTATTTTTATCAAAACCAATATTAATTACAGCTTAGTTGCTCACACAAGTCCCTTTTGCACCGTGAAAGGCTAGACCTCAGCTTCCTCCCAACTGGTTTATCCCGAGTTCGTGGTCGGGCTTGATGGCTGTGGTCCCGGGAGAAACGGCCCGTCTGGGAGGGAGGAAGCAGCTGGACTGACCGCCCCTCAGCGTCATTCCCCGAGGGGTGTGACTGTGCTGGTGGCTCAGCAACACGGGGAGGATGTGCTTCTAAAACACGCTCTTCACCGTGGCAGGGAAGGACGTGGAGTACAGTTGAGGCAGTGGGAGTGGAATCAATAGAATTTTAGTAAAACAAACGGAAAAAAGCTAAGTGACGGATCTGAAAGACTTTTAAAAAATATTTTGTATTGATTTCAGAGAGGCAGGGAGAGGGAGAGAAGGCTGGAAACATCCATGATTAGAGAATCATCAGTTGGCTGCCTCCTGCACTCCCCCCCCTGGGGCTCGAGCCTGCCACTCGGACCTGTGTCCTGACCGGGAATCGAACCGTGAGCTTCTGGCTCAACCCCTGAGCCATGCCAACCAGGCTGCAAGGCTTTTCAGTAAAAATCGTTGAAGACAGTGGAGGGGGGACTGGAAGTCCGTCCCCCATGTCGTCACCATATCCTGCTGGCTGCTCTGCAGTCTCCCATGCAGATGCTGTGGCTACACCACAGTTTGCAGGTCTTGCTCAGGCCGTGAAAAGTGTTCCTGAGGGAACTAGAAAATACATTTTAAAATCACACACACAAAAACAAACAAACAGGAAAATCACAGAATCCCCCCGCGGAGAAGTCACGGGGTTCTCTCTGTCCCGAGCAGTGCCTTAGGGCGTGGGAGAAAACAGGTCCCTCTCGGTGGAATCGCAGGGGACACTGGTTTGGTCTCCCAGTGGGTGACTCCTGAACATCTCCTCCTCGAGAGAGGGGCCTCTTTTCCTGCCGTCCCGCTGTGTCTGTAATGACAGGTGGTTCTGATTCCCTTTCCCTAACGCAGCCCCTTGGCCAGCTTTTACCAATGAACTTACGTTTCCTGGGAGCAGGTGGGGAAGAGTCTGAGTTTTTTGTTTTTTTGTTTTTTAATATATTTTATTGATTTTTAACAGGAGGAGAGAGGGATAGAGAGCTAGAAGTGTTGAGAGAGAAACATCGACAAGCTGCCCCCCCCCCCCCGCACCCCTCCTACTGAGGATGTGCCCGCAACCAAGGTACATGCCTTTGACTGGAATCGAACCTGGGACCCTTCAGTCCGCACACCGATGCTCTACCACTGAGCCAAACTGGTTTCGGCGAGTCTGAGTTTTGATTTGTGCCCTTGCCACTGGGGACACTGGATCTGTAATACACACTGGTTAGCCTGCTGGGTTTTTCTTATCAGCCCCACGGGCCTGTGTGTGTGTGTGTGTGTGTGTGTGTAACCACAGGAAATTCTCAGCCCCTGAGGCTTCCCACAGGGGCGTCTGCACCCACCGCCCTGCCCGAGCCGGCCGCCGTGACGCCACTGCGAGGTGGGGACCTGTGTCCTGTGTTTGCTGTGTGGTCGGGCCCTGGCTTGAAAGGGACTCTTCCTTCAAACCCCCGCCTTCAGTCCTAACCACGGGATTTCATAATTCTTCTGTTGTTACTTTCTCTCGCCGCGCTCAGATAACATTCTGGGTGTTGTTTTTTCTGCTTCATCTCACAAAGGATTTGAGGCATTGGTGGCCTGGCATTAGAAAGTGGCTGAGTGTTGACCTCTGAACCAGGAGGTCATGGATCCGGTCCCGGTCAGAGCACATCTCCAGTGTGGGGGTGGCAGAAGGCAGTCAGTCCATGATTTTCTCATCATTGATGTTGTTTTTCTCTCTCTCCCTTTCTTTCTGAAATCAATAAAAATATATTTTTTAAAATAAGTGGTTTATAATCACTGTCTTTTCATTTTTTGTTTTAGAATTTTTACTTTTTGTGAATTAACAATATAGTGCATCTTACCAAACTTAAAAAAAAAAAAATGCAGAAAAGTACAGAGTTACAAGCCCCTCTCCCCTTGCCCACCCAGTGTCCCGGGTGACTTGGCCTCAGCAGCGTGCCGGGTCCTTTCAGAGATAACTGGAGCATGATGTACCTTGTTCTCTTTTTCTGCAAATCCTTTGCAGACAGGCATGTGCACAGCACCCTCTAGTGGCAAGGAGTAAGTCAGCACTTCCCATGTGCACTACTCACTCCTCTTCATGGCTTAGAGTTCCTCTCGATAGAGGAGACCTCAGGAGGGCCGTACACACAGCCCGAGAGTGACGGTGCTGGCCCCTCTCACACCCCCCGCCCCCCTCCTGTGGTGCAGCACACGGTGTTAGGGCGGAAGAGGGCTTGCCGACTGCATTCTCACTGCGCTTGCCCGTCCCTGGGGCGTGAGCTCTGTGAAGGCAGCAATGGTGTTCTGTCTGTCTTTGCCTCCCCAGCCCCTGGGCCAGAGGGTGTCCGAGAACAGGTACCTGGTAAGTGGTGGGTGATGCCTTGGTCCCATGCCACTGACACGGGTTTCTCCACGGTTTAACAGGTCCTGGAACATCAGTGTTTTGTTTTAATGGGGACGAGATGCTGTGGGAACCCATCCCTTGTTTACTAGTGTCTCGGTTAGCCTGTTGATGGGTTTGTTGCCTCGGTTCACTTAAAGGTGCAGAGCTTACCGATGCTGTTAGTGAGGGTGTACTGTCTGAGGAGTTCTTTAAGAGAGTGTACTCTGCAGCCAGCTCAGGCCTGGTGTTGCTGACCCTTCACCTGCCCATCCCTCCCTTGGATGGACAAGCTTCATCCTTCTCCTCTGTAGAGTCAGCACCATCTTAAATCAGAGAGACCCAGGCACTGGCTCAGAAGAAAGTTGCACTCTAGCTGTAGACGGCGCCTTCTGAATGCCTTGTTCTTTTCACGAGATCTGGGCGCTGAGGGGACACTTGTGAGCAGGAAAGTCATGGATCTGCCCTCGTTGACCTTTCATTCTGGTCAGGGAGACCGAACACACACATACACTAACTGGATAATTTTAGATCATGGTAAATGCCGTAAAGGAGTATAAAAAGGAAAGTTTTTAAAAAGAATATAACAAGGAGGTGAACGCCAGTTGTATCATCATCTCCTTGCTCTGGCCAAGGCATTGGGGGGAAAAAAAGTCAAAGTGAGATCTCTCTGCACAGCCATCATGGCTTAATGGTTAAGTATCAACCTATGAACTAGGTTACCATTTGATTCTAGTCAGGGCACAGGCCTGGATTGTGGGCTCCAGTCAGCAATTCTCTCCATCATTGCTATTTCTATTTCTCTCCCTCTCCTTTCCTCTCTGAAATCAGTAAAAGTATACATTTATTAAAAAGTAAGATCTGCCATTTCACAGGGGGAGCCAGGAAAGTTGTAGCTGTGATCCGAGGCATCGTTGGGGCAAGTGTGGGCGCAGTGCAGCACCCCGCTCAGGAGCTTTCGGAGGGCCAGTGAGGCCGCCTGACTGCAGGTGTCCTCCCTCCAGTGGGTGCCATGGGGGGACCTGCAGGTGTCCTCCCTCCAGTGGGTGCCATGGGGGGACCTGCAGGTGTCCTCCCTCCAGTGGGTGCCATGGGGGGACCTGCAGGTATCCTCCGGCAGATGCCTTGGGTGCCGCCTGGCGCCAGTGCGTGGGGAGGGCAGCAGTAGCCAGCCTCCCGCCCTGGGCACTCTCTCTCTGACGGCTTTGTCTCCACCTTTGCTTTGTCTCCAGCTCCAGGGGCTGAGCCACAACGTGATCTTCACTTTGGACTCCCTGCTGAAAGGAGACCTCAAGGGAGTCAAAGGAGTGAGTGTCCGGAATCTGATTTTCGCTGTAACTTGGAAGGATCGGGGTTTTTCTCTTTTAAGATCATAGGGTACTTGTATTTGAAAGGCACTGGAACATTCTCGGCATAAAAAAAGATTGTTGGGAAAGGATCACAGGAGAGTGTGCCACTTCACAGGATGTTGTTGACCGGGGAACAAGACCAGACACTTGGAGGCAGAGTGAGGGCCTTGGTGGGTGGGCAGGGCATGGGCTCCATCACTGCTGGACCCCGCGGGCCCCCTGGGTCCCCATCACTGAGGCGTGACCAGGATGCTCGCCCTGCCGACCCCAGGCCTCCCGTCTGAAGTCACAGTGTGATGTGCATGCAGGTGGCTCTGTATAAAGTTCCCAGCATCCCATAAAGGAGGGCAGTTTTGCTAAGATGTTATTTCAGAATTATTCACTCGCCTTTTGACAACAGCACATTTAATTTCCGTTTCATTCTCTTTTTCTAAGGATCTTAAGAAGCCATTTGACAAAGCTTGGAAAGATTATGAGACAAAGTTGTAAGTGTGTGTTTGTTTGTTTGTTTGTTTGTTTGTTTTATGTCTTCATGATTTTCCTGTGAAGAAGATTGACTGGGAAAAAGACAGAGCCCTTAACTTATAAGGACAAAAAATAGAGTAGTGCATGCTTGACAGGGCCAAAAGGTGGGCCTGTCTGGTGGGCCTGTGAGGGGTCGGGAGGTGACGCACGGAGCCCTGGGCCTGGGCCTGGTGCACCTCCTCGCGGAGCATTGCACGTGCCTTTATTATTATGATCCCAAGTCGCCTGACTTCAGGCTGTGCGGGGGACGGGAGGAGAGATAGATTTGAAAGCACTTAATAAAACCGTTGGCTGACAACTCGATAACTGTAAACATAAGAGTATAAAAGCATTTCCGAAGGTGGCAGTAACTGCAAAATGACAAGCGGAAGAAACATTGAGGATTCGATATTTTTCTCCGAAACTACTCACTACTCTCATGATTGCTGACGTAATAACTGTGTCGTCTGAGAGTTGCTGTCTTAGGAATACTTTGGTGCACTGACAGTTACAGATGCAGCTGGGAAGAAAGAGGCTCCGGCCGTGGCCGGCTGACGTAGATGAGGGCTGTGGGCCACCTCGCCGTCCTCTGAGGGCGGGGTGTGAACGCTCCCGTGTGGACCCAGCACTGCCCTGCCCCCAGGCAGTGGCGGTACACCTGGCCCACACAGAACTGAGTCCTTACGGAGGGGGTGTGAGTTCACAAAACGGGAGAAAAACACTTGGTCTAGACCTGTTGCAGGATGCAGCTCCTCTGTGGGACACAGGAACAGCAAAACAAGATGTGCTTTGTCCACTGAAGTCCTACAGATCTGGGTAGTTCTCACCAAAAGGAAGCTGTGTGTGCATGTGTGTGTGCGTGCGTGCGTGCGTGCGTGCGTGTGTGTGTGTGTGTGTGTGTGTTAATGGTGGCATCTGCTTCCCTTCCAGCACGAAAATTGAGAAGGAGAAGAGAGAGCATGCGAAGCAGCACGGGATGATCCGCACGGAGATCACGGGGGCGGAGATCGCGGAGGAGATGGAGAAGGAGCGGCGCCTCTTCCAGCTGCAGATGTGCGAGGTGCGCGGGGATCCGGCCACTCCCTCGCCTGGGGTTTGGCTAGCCGGGCCTCCTGCGGGCAGCGGCCTCCAAGCCGGAGAGCGGCTGTGTCTGGTGAGGAGAGGCGGGACAGTTACTGAGGGACTCCGATCTCGTTTCTCTCCAAGCCTTTGGGATCGCCCCCGCCCCTGTTGCCTTCTGTTTTGAGCCTGGAGCCTGTGGGGCTCAAAGCAGGATTCTTGGGTGAGAACTTCCTGTTGCCTGGGAATGAGTGTGGGAAGGCAAATTTTGGTAACATGGGTGACTCTCCGGTTTTACTGGTACAGGTGTAGAGCATGTTTGTTTGTTTTTAACCCTGTGTCTAGTTTGAAAGAAAGTTTAAATGAAGTGGTCATTTGAGAAAGCCTCTGAGGTCTTGAAAAAAAAAATGCAACAAAAGCATGCTCCTTCAACTTACAGCAGTGGTTCTCAAACTGTGTTCCCCTGAACACTGGCATCCTTGACCGAGAGACCCACCCCTTCTGACATTGACGCTGCGCACTGGAGTTCCTTTTGTGCTTTTGGGAGACTATGAAAATGGATAGAGTTTTCTCAGTTTTGAGGTTTTCTTCCTTAATTTTTCCCCCATCCCAATAAACCTTTGGCTCCTTCTTGAACTTGTCTGCTCATGAACACCCCCACACAATGAAACCCGTGGACAAGAGGCAGACAGTGCCAGCAGAAAACCTCGGCCAGTTGTGAAAATCAGAGCTGGTGGTGTTTGGTGCCTAAGTTACTAACACGTTGTTTTCCTCCTTTCATTTTTAGTAGCAAAAATTCTACCTTGCCTCCTTGGTCTCAAAGTTTTAATGCTTCAGGGCGTATCCCTTCAAGAGAAAGCTGTTCCACTTGTTTTCAGCAAAAACCCTCCATCTTGCAGGTCTCGACCTGAACTCTTAAGTTTGAGAGCCACTGCGCCAGAGGAACTAAGTCCGCTATCCCAGAATGCTTTGCTGTGTGGATCTCTGATTGTCTAGTAAACTAATCACGGGCGTTTATAAGGTGCTAACGTGCTACCCACTGTCCACTAGTGCCTGTGCCGATGGGCATCCCCTAAGCTAGCTCACACACCCTGAGGACCGCCGAGGCCAGTACCTGGCGCAGACTCACCGCGGGGGCTGCCCCCCGAAACCCTGCCCGAGAGCCCCATGGGCAGTGACAGCATCCACTTCTGTTTCACTCCCACAGTATCTCATCAAAGTCAACGAGATCAAGACCAAAAAGGGCGTGGACCTGCTGCAGAATCTCATCAAGTACTACCACGCCCAGTGCAAGTAAGTGGCATGTGGCCATGGTGACACAGATCCCGAGGGAGGGCCCGCACTGTTGTTTCTTTTATTTCTTTTTCTTTTTAAATACATATCTTATTGATTTTTTACAAAGAGGAAGGTAGAAGGATAGAGAGCTAGAAACATCGATGAGAAAGAGACATCGATCAGCTGCTTCCTGCACACCCCCTATCGGGGATGTGCCCGCAACCAGTGTACATGTCCTTGACTGGAATCGAACCCGGGACCTTTCCGTCCGCCGACCGATGCCCTATCCACTGAACCAAACCGGTTTCGGCTGCACTGTGGTTTCTTGCTTCTTTCCGTCCGGTCTTCATTCGGTCACTGCGCAGGGAGATAAAGGCCTTCCACAGCTGCCTCCTGTGAAGCGGCATTGGCCATAGTCAGTGTTTTCTCACATCAGCCACTCACATTAGTGCAGCTGCCTGGCTCCCTGAAATCGCTGCTACCTAGAAAGCTGGCGTTGCCGTGACGGCCTTTCAGCCCCTCCTGCAGACACTGTCCCTGTCCCTGGAGGCCTTCCCGGCGCCCCGCTTCCCTCCCTCCTCCCTCGGCATCTCACCTGTGACAGCGCCATTGTGCCACGTTCTCCTGCTTGGGGCTGTGTTATTTTCTTCACCGTCTACATCAGTGAAGCCCGTCACTTGGGCAGCAGGGACACTGCCCTTGTGCTTGGGCGGCTGGTATATTGGGAGAGGCGCCCATGGTCCCCATTTTAGTTTGTTCATGTGGTCAGGTCCCCTTTTTATGATGGAGGCTCTGTGACACCACATTTGCTTTTTCACTCCTTGTTTTCTTTTCTGGTTTACTTTTGTGGGCTTTCTGGTAATTTTTATGTGAAAATCTGCCTGTTTTATGTGAAAATCCCGTGTTCGATTCTGGCCAAGGGCGCATGCCCAGGTTGTGAGCTCCACCCCCAGGGTGGGGTGTGCAAAAGGCAATCAATCAATGATTCTCTCTCATCATTGATGTTTCTCTCTTTCTCTCCCCGTCTCTCTGAAATCAATAAAGAAATGTGTGTGTGTGTGTGTGTGTGTGTGTGTGTGTGTATATACATATATATCTATATGTACACACACACACACACACACACGTACATATATACATTAGAGGCCCTAACTGCCCTCCCCTGCAGGCCTGGTCACCCCTAATTGCCCTCTGCAAGCCTGGTCACCCTAACTGCCCTCCCCTGCAGGCTTGATTGCCCCCAACTGCCCTCCCCTGTAGGCCTGTTCCCTCCCACCTGTCCTCCTCTGCTGGCCATCTTGTGGCAGCCATCTTGTGTCCTCATGGGGGCAGCCATCTTTGACCACATGGGGGCATTCATCTTGTGTGTTGGAGTGATGGTCAATTTGCACATTACTCTTTTATTAGATAGGATTAAAATTAAAAAAAAAAAAAAAACAACAAAAAACAGTTTATGTGAAGTGCCAAGTGTGCTAGGCGTGTGGTCAGTGCTCAGCCACGCCAGGTTGCTCCCCTCAAGTAAGGCACCTCCTGTGTCCGTGGTAGGATAAAGCCTTCCTGGTCATCGGTGCCCTGACCCCAGATCCTGCGCCTCAGGTGTGTGTCAGGACTCGGGACCTTTGGGAACTGACTTCTCCGGCCTCTGTTTCTAGTCCCATCCATCTCTCCTTGGAGTGTCCGGGTAGGCTCCGTGGGTGGTACCCCGCTAGGTAGTGTGTCCTCCTCTCTCTTTTGAGCTCAGATCAGGCACAACCAGGGGAGCTGTTCCGTGTGGAGTGACAGCGGGAGGCACTGCGTGGACAGCGACTGCGGTTGCATTGTCTGCGTGATGTTTGCTGGCACGTGTCCGTAGTGCCCATGCGTGTTGGTTGGCACATCTTTTACAAAACACTGAAACCCGATTTATACATGTTTTGTGTAGATACCTGGTAGAGAGTAAATATGTCTTTCTGGATTTTTCTGGTAATTATGGTTCATGTCATGTTTGTACTCTGATGTTTTCCGTTGTAGTTTCTTTCAAGATGGCTTGAAAACGGCTGACAAGTTGAAACAATACATTGAAAAACTGGCTGCTGACTTATATAACGTGAGTTCTTTATGAAACACATAATGTATTTACCTTGCTCTGCAGACAAGTATCAGTAACTGTGAAACCTGTACTGGAAGAGTGTTAAAGACAAAAAGACCGATTAAGTGATGTGTCCAATAAAGACAGATAAACTTTCAGTTCTACTCAGACATCAGTGATGGAATGTTCCAGAGAGTGTTTGGGGAGCATGGGAGGAGCAGGGAGGAGCGTCTAATGGTTGCTTCTAGATGACTCTCTGTTCAGGGTTCATGTAATATCACAGGTGCCCTTCAGTCAGCATTCGCAAAAAGAATGATTTTATTGTGAAAGGATAAAAATGCACTGTCTCTGAGTAAGTTTATGAATTTTGGGAGCTTGCTTGCATTATATTTCCTCTATATTTTTCACATAATATAGTAGCAAAAGGAAAACTTCTTTGAGGAAAAAAACTAAATGCATATGTATAAATGTCAACCTTTATCCCCCATAAATCGCTTGGCAATGGATCATATTAAAAATTACATATATGTTTTATGAGTGCAACTATGTATGTTCAAATACGGTTTTTAGAGTTACAGATAATGCCGGGTGTCTTTGTCTCCCTTCAGAGAGTAAGTAGCTTGTCCTGCTTTTCTCTTAGTGAGCGTGGCTCTGGTTGTGATCAGGTTCCACGTGTGGAAAAGGCAGCCGGCCTTTGCCCTCGGGCAGGGCTCTGTGCCCTCACGTGGGCCCGTTGGGTTTGCTCCTCAGTTTCCAGGGATCTCTTCTGGGCCTTCGAGGTCAGCGTGGCATCACTACCACCTTTGGAAAAACCGGGAGCAAATGACTCACGTTATTTCTTAGCTTTGTTTAAAGCGGAGCTTTAATTATCTAGCCTAGAGACGTTATTTAATAAGAAAGCATGTTGCATTATTCACTCATCTCAAAACCCACTGGAACCTTCACAGGATTAGAACATTGTGCATCTCATATAAAAAATGAGACCACGTGAAGGATCTGAGTAAGGCAATCAGCTATATCATTAAGTAGTTCGATGTGTGGTGTATCGGGGTGAATTAAATGCTGCTCATAAAGGCATAAAAGGTAAGTGACAGAAGTAATTTTTTTTCTCTTGTAGATAAAACAAACCCAGGATGAAGAAAAGAAACAGCTAACCGCCCTCCGGGACTTAATAAAGTCCTCTCTCCAGCTCGATCAGAAAGAAGTAGGTGCTCAGTGTCTCCAGCAGGACTGGCCGGGCAGGCGGGGCTCAGGGGGGTATGGATGTCTCCCAACCTGCAGAACTGGGGTGCTGACAGCTTCCTGCCAGGGCGGGGTGGGACGGGGGAGACCCCAGACCCTCGTGTACATGTTGCACCGCCCAGGCTAGAACCGTGTTTTGTTTCCCCCTCTCCTTATGGAAAGGTGTCCTGAGCCCCGGCCTGCAGCTCCGTGGCTAGCCTTTCTGGCCTGGCTTTGCCGATGTGTTTTTCGGGAGAGTCTGCTCAGACTGCGGAGGGGGAGGGACAAGGCAGCGCACATCCCTGTGTCTCTTTCCGGGCAGCCGCAGGTGGGGCGGGGGGATAGAGAAATGGTCTGAGGCACAACCCTGTAGAAGTTTTGCCCCCCAGTTAGGAAAACGGGGGTGAGAGTCTTTAGATGCTGGGGTGGAGTATACGGAGCCTGGTAGCTGTTAGATGACTGCTCAGACCCTTAATCATACATCGTACTTACTCATTTGTTGTGCAAACGTTTAATGAGCACCTACAGTGTGCCAGCAGCTGTGCTGGGCAGTCAGCGTTAGTCCTGACCATTGAGGTCATCCTCCGGTAGGAGGTGGAGAGAGTCAGCCGTGTGAGGGAGGAGCTGTGCCTAAAGCGGTGTGGGTGCTGTAGGGGAGATGCCGAGTGCGGGGAAACTGCAGAGATGGATGTGGTGGGTGGAGGCGTGAGATGCGGTTTCCGGGCAGAAGGCTCGGGGTGCACACCGGAGGGACGGGCTTCGAGCTAAGACTAAGTTAAATAGGCCCCGTTGTCACACGGAAAAGGTGGCAACGTGCCTGTGTGCATCGTGAAATTCTTACGCATTGAATTTAAGTGTGATCTCTAAATGCAACATTTAATCATCATAAAATATAGCATTTTTAATATTCTTAACTCCTCATGGTATTATCTCACAGTGGCCAGCTCTTTGTCGTCTCCTAACATGTCTGAGAGGAGTGCATGAGTCCAACAGAACAGAGGGAGCCCCCTGGAGCGTGGGGAGCCTGCCCAGCTCCCTGGTCCCGCGCACCCATCCTGCAGGTGCTTCTGCGCTGGGCCCTGGAGCCCTCGCTGCTGCTGCCTCTAGTTTGCACGCTCGTTGGGTGTTGTGAAGTGAGAGGAGGCTATAGCCCTTTAACGCTGGGCCCCTGCTCACCTGTGGACAGGTGACAGAGCCGGGGTGTCGTGTGTGCTGTGCGCCCACGTCATGCAGAGCCTCGGCCAGCACCTGCACCTGAGGGTGCAATCGCTCAGCACAGAGCAATAGGAAGATCCAGATTGTGGAGGAAGGGGGTAGGTCTGCAAACTGCTGCTCGAGAGCCACCTGCGGCTCTTTGGCTCTTCCACAAAATACCACGGCCTGGGCGAGTCTGTGTTGAAGAAGTGGCGTTAGAAGAAGTTTAACTTTAAAAAATGTGGCTCTCCAAAGAAATTTCAATCGTTGTACTGTTGATATTTGGCTCTGTTGACTGAGTTTGCCGACCACTGGTCTAGAGAAATTTTTGAGGTTTTGTACTGATCGGTACGTACTTAACCACTTCCTACCTGTTTTGCCACTCGGGATTATTTCCTACATATGGACGCTTTCTTGAGAAAGAAAAACAGCTATTGTAGGCTCTCTGTGGTGTATAGAGACAGGGATATTCTGCTCATGCTAATGACTAAAGGAAAAGTTGCACACAAACCAAAGGCGTGTGTACATGCAGAAATGCACACGGCCTGACTGATTTTAACTTCCTGCCAAATCAATGAGTGATGAGTTTCCATTAGCACCGTGTCCAGAGTATTTTACAAGTAAAATTGAACTTTCACAGCATGCCTAGTCCATTCTCAGGCTGGTTATCATCTCTCAGTGCAAGCTGTGTTAAGAAGGTAGTGATTTTTAATGCTTTCCGTTACACGTGAAAGGAGCTTTTCAGCCAGAGGTTTCTCACCCTGGTTCTCCGGTTCCAGAAGGTGTAAAGTCATCTGGAGACTAACCCGAGAAATTAAGGCCCAAGAAATCACTGAACAGCCCGCCCCACCCCCAGGCCCGAGCTCAGGAAGCCTCAGGAACTTGCGTTGTGTATGGGACTCCCAGATTTGGGGTAGACTCATTTTTTTTTATTTTTTTTTTCTCATGAAAATAAAATTCTCTAATGACTTGTGGCAGATGTCCTGTGGAATTAGGCATCTTAAGCTTTGATAGCAGTGCAGCCTCCCTGAAGAACTGCTTGCTACATGCATATTCTTTGGGATGAAAATGTTTTCTTGAAGATGATGTCCATAAGTCATCTCCAACCCCCCCCCTCCCACTTTGTGTGAGCCCCTCTTGATAGCATACCATCCTGGGGTTCACTCGTGTCTGACAGATTTTGGGGTTGGCTCGTCTCTGTCCTCGCAGCGCCTGCCACAGCCTGGCACACCGCCGGGCACCAGAGCTGCTCGGTAAGTATTTAGTACCAGGAGACGGAAGGATGCTGGTGCCCGCTCCATTCATACAGCGGAGATTGGAAGCTCCCTGTCAGGGGTCTGTCCTCAGACTGGGTGCCAGACACTCTTAGGACCCCATTAAGGCAATGATGAGTGTGTCCTTGCCTGCAGTTTAAAAAGACTGGAGGTTTTTCTCCTTAATAATGTATTCAAAGGTTTTCTAATAAAGTCAGGTAATCTGTGCTGCTAATAGAGAGTGGGAAACTGAACTAAAAAGTGACACCTGTTTTGTACATTTCTTGGCTCACATCATGGAATCCCCCCAAGGTTTTGTTTTAAATTCACTGCTTTTAGTTTTGTTTCGTTTTCCCCTGAACGATTTTTTTTTTTTTTTTGCATTTGCATTTTCTTCCCTGAATACCTGCTAATTTTTATTATGCTGGCAAAGGATTCGGAACCTGTTTCATCCCCTCAGTTTTGTCCTCTTTTGTTTTTATTTGGTGCTAACATTCTCTGAGGTTTTCTTTCTCAGAAAAGAAAGCCCTCTTTTCATGTATTCGGTGCAAGCTGAATGGCCGTTATTTCTCAAAGTGCAGAAAGCATCAAGTGTATGACTTTCTTAAGTTGTAAAAAAAAAACAAAAAAACCTCATTAGCCGATAATTTGGGACTGTTTCATGCCAGATTTCTGGAATAGATTGCTTCTACCCTGCTCGGGTTCATGGAATCATGTTCTGAGGTCAAAGCCTAGAGTTCAGCCACTTCCTTTACCTGTAAAAGCATCTCTGTCTAATGTGAAGCCAGGCCCATGCGATATGTTATTCACAATGTAGAGTGTATTTAGGCTTGTAATAATTCTATGTAAGGGCTGTCTTGATGGTACATGTACAGGATGTAATAGTTTTCTAAATTATCGACATCTAAATTCTTATTAAATATGTAAGCTCTTTCATTTTTAAACATAAGACTTATTTTAAAGGTTAGCAAATGGACTGATGTTGGAGAGGCATAATTTTTAAATGCAAATGAAAAAAATCATAATTTTAAATCCTGACAGAGCAGGAATTATGTGGGCATACGCAGAGAAGTGCAGTTTGGTGAAAGGGTGCCAACTTTTAAGAAGGGTTGGAATCCAAGGAGAGCTTCGATTTTGGGTTTCAGGTTCTGGAGGTAGGGGGATGGCGAAGATCCCCGAGCCCACGCTCAAAGCTGAGCGACTTTAACACAGTTCCATTGGGTTCAGGCAGACAGTTCTGTGGTTTTCAGGATCTGGCCTCAGGTTTTGTACAACACCTCTGCTCTCTCCAGCCCTATCCTTCTCCATCCTGTATCCCTACTGTAGTTCCCGGAACTGTCACTAGGGGCGCTGTCGAGGCAGGCTGCTCTCTGCTATCCCTCGGGTCAGATCTCCAGCCAGAGGCCTGGGCACGCCTGTCAGGGAGGCCATTGCCAGCCAAGTCCCGTGGAGTTCCAGGCTCTGGGCCCTGCGGAGGCTCAGCTGCAGGGGATCCGGCCGGCTAAAGACAAAGAAGTGACTGGGGTTAAGAGAATAGAGTTTGCAACCAGTTTAGCAGACTCGGCTGCCTAGAAAGGCGCAGTCAGCCTGGTGGCCTCCGCTCGGGAGAGCACAGTGAGTGCGGGGTGATCCCCACCTCAGAGACCGGCTGTGTCGCCGTCAGTGTCCTCTGGGCCTGCACGGGGCTCGGCTGTCAGGGTTCGGGGCGCGCTTCTGAGCACTGAACTCATCACATGTACAACAGCCTTAAAGGAGTGTGGTCCTTTCTGAGGCCAGAAAGCGGCTCCCCCTCTCCAGCCTGCTGTGCACCAGCCATCAGTACCCCCCAGGCTCACGGAGCTTCCCGCCTCTTCTCCATCCCTCCTCCAGGCTGCTTAGGGACTGGATATAGAAAGTTCTCTCCACTCGGAAAAGCAAAAGGAAAAGAACCCTTCTGAAATTTGTTGGGGCTTTTTTTTTTTTTTTTTTTTTTTTTTTTTTTTTTTTTTTAATCATTACCCAAGGATATGTTTTTGATTGATCCTAGAGAGAGGGGGAGAAACATCGATGTGGGAGAGAAACATCCATTGGTTGCCCTCCATACGCACCCCGCTTGGAGATGAACTCTGAAACCGGAGTGTGTACCCCAACTGGGAATCAAGCCCGTGACCCCTTGGGGCTCCGGACAGTGCTCCAGCCAGCTGAGCGGCGGCTCTGTTGAGATTTTCTAAGTCACTCCCGCCGGGCCCCCCTGGGTGCTGGTCTCTGTGCACACACTTAGAGGTTTGTCTGCTGTGTTATCTTGGGAGCGTGTTCCTCTTCTTTCTCCACTTGGCCTTTTCTCTGCTCTCCCTCAAATGGCCTGAACTAAAATTGAATTAACACAGATATTTTATTGTGCCAAAGTTTATCGTGATCCTGGAGATGCCTGTATATGAGTTTGTTCCAGTGTCACCTTTATAACGATGTTTTCTCTGTATGTTATAAAAAGTGCTTAAATTGTGAGTGATAAGACTGTCAATGAAATTAACTCTATTTTCAAATGTTCTGCCTTTTTTTCCTCTGTCGCTTTTGCCCTTCCTGATCGAAGTCTAGGAGAGTAAGTCCCCCCCCGCTGTGGGTGAGAACGTGTTGTCCTGTGTCTGTGTTTGCGGCCCTGTTTCTCGTAGTCCAGTTAGTTCCCCGTTAGATCACCCCCTGCATCTCCCCAGTAAGGACGGTGCCGTCTTTACAGAAACCCCTCGAAGCTCAGTGGCGCCCTCACATTAAGTCAAGCTCAGTGGCATCCATGTTGCTCTCGACCCTTGTCACCCTTTTCATTACACAGTACCCTTGTCACTGCAATAGATTAATTTTTTATTAAAAGCGTGGTTGTAGATACATTTTGCAGACCACTAGTGAGTTACAGAGTAAGAACTGTATAGCAGTTCTTCCTCCCTCCCTCAGAAGGTGCCCTTCTTGTCCCACCCCCCGCAGTGTGCGCGGGGACGAGAGGCACACCCAGGCAGGAGCGCTTGCCTTCCGGGTGCATGGGCTTGGTTTTGCGGTCCCTCGCGTGCCTGCCTGGCTGCCGGTGTGAACGGGTGTCATCATAGACTAGTCCCCGCATGTTTGAAGCCGAGCTGGGATCTGAACTGGCGCTCGGAGGCCCGGACCCCAGGCCCAGCTCCGCCTTGAATGTGCCTGTGACTGCCTGGCTTCCTGTTCTAGAATAAAGGCCGGGACCTGGCTGCCCGAGGGCCGAGGCTCAAGGACGGGAGAGGCTCTCCAGTGTGTGACTCACCTGTGGCCCATCTCTCCTAGGATTCCCAGAGCCGCCAGGGCGGGTACAGCATGCACCAGCTCCAGGGCAACAAGGAGTACGGCAGCGAGAAGAAGGGGTACCTGCTGAAGAAAAGCGACGGGTACGTACAGACCCCTCCGCGGGCCTGTGTTCCTGAGCTCACGTCCTGAGCATCGGGGTGGGTTACCTGCGGGCTTTCCCGCCTCCCCCCTGGGGGTTCTGTGTTGTGATGTTGGCTATGCGTGACGCTGCATGGCGACCGCCTGTCCCCGAGTGAACAGACCCTGAACCAGCTTGTCTGCCTGGCTCTGCAGGATCCGCAAAGTGTGGCAGAGGAGGAAGTGCGCGGTCAAGAACGGGATGCTGACCATCTCCCACGCCACGGTAAGTGTGTCTGCGCTCACACGCTCGCCGACTCTGCCACTGGGCCGTGTGGACGAGAAACTGGCAAACACGTGCTGTCACGGCGCCAGAATGTTCCCCAGGCTCGGGTGTGTGTGGAGTCGGGTCAGATAGTTTGGGATATGACCTTGTCCTGTGGCGTCTGCCCTGCTGTGTTCTGTCACTCCACCAGGACTTTTCTTGTTTGTTAATCCTCACCTGAGGATATATTTCCCATTATACTTTAGAGAGAGTGGAAGGAAGGGGGAGAGACAGAGAGAGGGAAACATGGATGTGAGAGAGTCACGTGGATTGGTTGCCTCTCGCATGTCCCCTGACAGGGGCCCAGGATGAACCTGAAACCAAGGTACATGCCCTTGACCGGGAATCGAACTTGAGACCCCTTAGTCCTCCGGCTGATGCTCAAACCACTGAGCCAAACCAGCCAGGGAACCAGGACTTTTTTTTTAATCTGTTCTCCCAAACCAAATCAGGTCTTCTCTTAATTGATAATCTAATGTTTTGGGAGATGATACTGGTTGTTATAAAAACCTAGTTTTCTGAATTACAAAGATGGTAGGGGATGTTTTTGCATGAAAAGGTAGTGTTGAAATGACACGACGCATGTAAAATATGTCCAGTCTTTTTCATTTGTTGTTGTTTATTTAAATTACTTAAAAAGCCCACCATTATGAGAAAAGGTCTATACATACAACCATGAATAATAAAATTGCCTCAATTATGACTCCCCATTTTTTAGTAACAAAGGCAGTTTAATAGAAAGTGGGAAATAGCTAAGCTATTATCATTTATATTCTATTTATCTTCAGATTGTCAGCATATATACATACATATCGCGTCCTTACAGTTGATGTCTATAATCTATCAAGAGTTTTTGTTCTGCATCCCCCATTTCCAACCAAAAGTCCTGTCTCGACAAAATCCATCCAGTCACCAGGAATCACAATTTTTCTCTTTAAAACTAGCAAAAAATTATTATTATTATTATTATTATTATTATTAAAGTATATTTTATTGATTTTTTAGAGAGGAAGAGAGAGGGATAGACAGTTAGAAACATCGATGAGAGAGAATCATCGACCAGCTGCCTCTTGCACACCCCCTACCGGGGATGTGCCCGCAACCAAGGTACATGCCCTTGACTGGAATCGAACCTGGGATCTTTCAGTCCACAGACCAATGCTCTATCCACTGAGCCAAATCGGTTTTGGCAAGAAATTATTCTTTAATTTTTAAAAACCATAATGGAAGATATATTGGGCAGGCCTGGAAATGGCAGAGGTCCGAGGTGGTTATAAAGGCCCAGGCAGGCGGGGAGAAGGCTCGTGGGTGAGTGCCAGCGTCCTGTGCCGGGCGATGCCCTCCTGATCACTGCCCACAGGACAGGAGAAGGAAGCGCTGAGCCTGGAGTCCATTGGAGGGTTTCCGTATTCCCAGCTGCGTGCACATTTCCCGCCGTTTGGGGAGGAAAGAAAACACCACTTTAATATTAAAATGCATGCTATCTCGGGCCCAGCACGTCCCAGGTCCGTGGTCAGCTGCTTCCCATAGCTGCTGACTGGCATGGACCACGTGTTTTCCAGACTTAGGGTGGGTATAGGCTTAATAGCTGTCTTGTCAAATGAGTTAGCGGGTAGGGTTTTCAGATAGCCTTCTAAAAGTCCTCTCTTCATCAATTATGAAAGTAAATAACTGAGGGGAAATCAGATGACCCGAGAATGTATTAAAATATATTTCTAACCCTTGCTCTATTTCTAACCCTCACTTTCCTCAGAAGGACATGCTCCGGGGACAGCGTGTGGCTGGCTTCCCGGGCTGCCCTGAGGCAGGAGGAAGGATGGGGTTTGGGCCCCTCACACCTGGTGGAGGCTCAGGCTCTGCCATCTCCTTCCTGGGAGGTCGTGGGAATGTCAGTTAACCTCTCCGCCCCTTCTCTTCACCGGAACTAGTGAAAGAAACCGGAAGGACTTCTCTCACGGGGTCGTATATATAAGGCCCCTGGAATGCATTCCTCCGAGAAACCTGTATTGAGTGCCTGCTGTATGCCGGGCTCATTTTAGTGAGCAAAACAGAGAAATGTGTGCTTTGAGTGGGAAGAAAGACAAGAGGCAAGTAAGGGGCCATAAGAGCCAGGAAGGTCCTGCAGCAGGGCGGGAGGGGAGGCTGGTCAGGCCTGGAAACTCTCAGGACATTCGAACTCTGAGCCACCTGGAGGAAGGGAGCAGGAGGTGGAGGCTAACTGGCAGAGCGGGACCCAGGAGGGGGGGAGGCCATGCCCCTCCTGCCCAGCAGGGGGAGCAGCAGAGTAAGGAGCCTGGAGGTCACATGCAGAGAGGTTTTTAGGAAGGGCCCCGCGAATGTTTCCTCATTCTTTTCCTTATTGTTCTTTCTTTCCTGCGTCATCTGAATTGTTTCTGATGAATCCCAGGCGAGTCATATTAGCCTCACTCGTTCTCCGCCTGCTGAGCCACCAGGAGAGGTTATGCCAGCTTTAGTCAATATGCCTTCAAATTAGTGCTGAACCCTGAGAAAGTTCTTTGAAACTCTGGAATGACTGCTATTACTGTTGTAATAACACCTGAGCTTTCGGGTGCCTTAGTCGAGCACCCACTCCACTTTCTCATATTCCCGCTCGGCACTGGCTGTGTCAGCTGCTTAGATCGTCAGAAATTCTGTGTTTGATTTTTTTTTTCCTCCTCAAAGTCACACTTGGGGTGATGGGTCATTCGTCAGCTGTCTTGGGGGAGGACAAGCACTGTGCTCAGGCAGGCTGTGTTGTCCGTGTCCTGAAGTTCACGTTGAGGCGGCCAAGGCCGTCCCATGGAATTCAATTATGAAATGGCTCAAAGCGTATCAGGCCCTTATCCTCTCAGCTTTCGGGCGCTGTGCTGAGAGGCGGTCTGTGCTTAGGGGTGAGTGGTGCTGTGTAATCCTCTCGAATAAGTGAATACTGAACTGGAGTGTTCTTTCCTTTTTTTTAAAGTTTTCTGTTTGGCTGTATCTGTCGGTAAGGTTGTTCAGAAACACTGGAATAACGTGGATTTGGGACAAAAAAGAAGCCGCCTAGTTAGCCCTCTGCCACACTCAGATGTGAATGTGTCTAGAAAAATCCCTAGGTTTTTCAAAGAGTTTTCTCCTTCGGCTCAGAAACTTGAAACCTCTTATTATGCTTCATCAACTTCAGCTTGGAAGTTCCTCCTTGCGTCTGGCTCCGGCCTCCGCCTACAGTCCGATTGCCTTTCTGCCTGGTCTGCGCAGATGGGAACCAGCTGCCGGCCTGCCCGGAGCAGCCTCATGGGCTGGAAGATGCTTATTAAGCCGCTCCCTCGCCATCTTTCCTCGGAACTAAATAGTGCCTTTACCCATCTTCAAAGTTCCCGTTTCCCAGCCCTTTAATCATCTCTCCATCTTCCCTAAGCTTTTCCACATCCTCCTGGACACGTGGATGCCAAACCGGAGCTTAGCATGATACCGAGAGCCCGTTCCCTGGCATGGCTGCCTTCTCAGGCCATCAGGTGCCCTGTCATTCACCGGGAGAGCCAGACAGACGCACTGCAGGACGGACAGCTCATTGCACAGCAGCCAGGCCTGGGTGGGGTGCAACCACTGGTGAGGAGTGTGAGGCCGCTGGCAGCCCAAGCTCCAGGGCTGTCCTGAGCACAGCCTGCAGGCCCGTGGCCCCGCCTCCTCATCCGGGACCTGGTATGCCCTGTGTCCTCTCAGGGGGGGCTCTCCTGGTTCCCATGTCTATGCCAGACGCACTGGTGAGGAGCCTGAGATACCTCAGCTCTCACTTCCGCCCGGACAGCTTGCTTTGGAGCAGATGGGCGCGGGCCAAGGGGCTTGTTTTCCGTGTCGAATCTCATTGAAACCCCAGAGAAGGAAGATCTCGGAAATTGGTCCAGAGAGCACAAGAAGGTGGACAAGAGATGAAGTGTCCATTGCTTGTCGCTGAGACTGAGAATGGCAGCGTGTCATTGAAGTCGTCTCAAACACGTGCCATCTCTGTCATTCAGGGCTTCGCTTGGTCACACTGTGGCGTCTCCCTCCCCCCTCCCCCCACTCTGTTTTTTTCTAAAATCTTGGGGTGCTTGGTGGAAAAGTTGCTGGCATGGGGATTTTGAGGATCCTAAGTGTCAGTGGGCTTCCAGCCTGGGCACTCAGGCGCTTCAGTCCATTGTCAGCTCTTGCAGGAAGCAGACAGGCTGGCCTCGGCATTGGCCAGCATGTGACCCTGAACAGATGCAGGCGGAGGTCAAGAACGAGTGTTGACCAGAATGATTGCATGACAAGGCTCCACTTAGGCAAAAGCCTAAATTGACCTGGCTGTGCACACACTACAGGGTCTGTGTAAATGGTACATGTGACCAAGAGATTCGCTGATAAATCTGTGATGTGAAATCCCGGCTAGATTTTCTGTCCTCAGATTTGGGGGCTCACTGAGCTGTGTCTCGAGGGTGGTAGTTGTCCTTGTACTTGAGAGAAGTTCTGTACGTTCCATGTTGCAACTACAACTTGTGGATATCTGGGACACCAGGTTGTGGTGACTGTTGCCTGGGGACATTCTGAATAAATGAATGAATGAATGAATGAGATGTACTCCACTGCATTTCACAGCAGGATGTGGTATTGAAAGTGCTGACTCTTTGGCCTGATGTGCATAGGGTCTAGAAAGGTGCATTTCCATTGGCCGTACCAACTCTCCATTTAAGGGTGGATTTTCCTGATTCCATTCTGATTAATCACCAATATAGTATTTATGTACAGTTAACAGACATTTAGAAGACCACCAATTTTTTTTTTTAATGAGATTCAGAATCCGGATATAAGACTATCACATTTGGCCCCGGCCAAGTATCAATTGGTTAGACCATTGTCCCAGTGTGCCGGAGCTGTGGGTTCACTCCTCACTCTGGGTACGTACAAGAATCCACCAATGAATGCATAAATGAGTGAACAACAGATTGAAGGGGGGAAAAACTTTATCAAGCTTGCTGCCTGAAACCGCGTGCCTGCCCCCGGGGCACTGGCCTGGCCAGCGGGGGAGGTGCAGCAGGTAGCAGCTCCGATTTCTCTGTTCCAGGCTAACAGGCAGCCAGCCAAGTTGAACCTCCTCACCTGCCAGGTGAAGCCGAATGCCGAGGACAAGAAGTCTTTTGACCTGATCTCACGTGAGTCCTCCTTCTCTCCGGGTCCAGTCGCTGTGGACCCTGACGTCGCCCATTTCCATTGCCAAGGCTCTTTGCAGGGCACCTGAGCTGGATTCTGTAACTATTAAAGTTCAGAGCCCCTGTGACTTTATGACCAAGAGATTTCTTGGGTTATTAGTGAGAAGTTGGGTTTATAAGATGACTTCAAAGAGCCTAGATCTCTCCGTTTCAAACCCTGTAGGTTATTGAACTATACACTGAGTAGTCAGATGATGATGGTCTCTGAACCCATAATAATCTGGCCACTCAGTGTATAGCCTATATAATAAAAGGCTAATATGCAAATTGTCCCCTCCATCAGTTTGACCAGCAGGCCAACCACCCATGTCCCTTCCCCCTGGCCAGGCTGTCCGGACCCCACCCATGCACAAATTCATACACCGGGCCTCTATCTATCTATCTATATATATATATACACACACACACACACACACACACACACACACATACATATATTCATATATATATATGGATTCATATATATATGAATTCATATATATATGGCCACTCGGTGTGTGTGTGTGTGTGTGTGTGTGTGTGTGTGTATGCACCTTTCTGGACCCCAAACACACACACACACACACACACACACACACACACCCCGAGTGGCCAGATTATTATGTGTTCAGAGATCATAATCTGGCCACTCAGTGTATAACTAGTCGCCAGTTATTGGACATCCAGTGTGTGCTGGGTGCTTTATATATGTTATTGCCAATCCTCACAAAAAGCCCCATTGGTGTCCTGTTTGACAGAAAACAGGCTCAGAGAGGTTCAGTTACTTATACAAGGTCACACAGCATTAAAGCAGAGATTCAGCTGAGACTCTTGGGCTCTACTACCCATAGTGTGTTCTTGGGCATAAACAACCTCTCTCTAGGGAGATGAGGGTGTAAATGCCTAGTCTGGAGCGGCCACATAGTGCGTGACTGGCTAGTTAAGTGAAGGTTAGTTTGACCTGACTGTGTTGAAGCATTCTAATGGATTCTGAGTTTTAAGCCAGAGCTTCCCTTACACTATACATCTGCCCAGAGACTATCGAGGTCAGGCCACTCCTTCTTTCCCTGGGCAGCGGCCTGAAGCTGACTGTCGAGCAAGGTCAGGCCTTCTTTCTTGAAGCTGACCCTCGCAGAGAGCAGCCGGCAGGGCAGCTTTTAGACTGAGCCCTGCTGTCCGAGGAAAGTCTTTTTTTTAAAGAAAACACAATAAAAGGCAAGTTGAGGATGAAAAGTAAAATACCGCCTTGGCAGCTGGCACTCCACAGGCTGTCGCTGGAACCCGCTCGAACAGGCGGGACCATCCCCCTCCCACTTTCTTTTCCTAACTGCCAGGTATTGGCAGTTATTTTACTACATTCCTGGGGCACTTTAGAAAAGCAGTGCTGACAACATGAGTTGTGTGGCTGCTAAAACAAAATGGCGTAAACACAAAGTAATTGTAAAACCCTACTTTTACTATGGGTTTTTTGGTTTGTTTCTAGGAATTCTGCATTCTAAGGTGTCCTGTTCTTTTCTCCTGTGTATTTTAGATAACAGGACGTATCACTTCCAGGCAGAAGACGAGCAGGATTATGTAGCGTAAGTAGTTTTGAGCTAATGGCACCCCGCGCCTCCGTCCTGTATACCACATGTAAAGATTGCCATGGTCAACACCGCCCCTGGCGGTTCCCCACACCAGCTCTCTCCTCCGGGCCAGCCCACGCTGCTCTTTCTTCTCCATTCGCCTTTCAAGTTACACGGAAGCACTTTCTTTCTTGTGGGAAAAGTCTCCCGTGAAACTGAACGAAGAAATCACTTCTCACCCTAGCCAGTTTGGCTCAGTGGATAGTGCGTCAGCCTGTGGACTGAAGGGTCCCAGGTTTGATTCCATCCAAGGGCACATGCCTAGACTGTGGGCTTGATCCCTAGTAGGGGGCGTGCAAGAGGCAGTCAATCACTGATTCTCTCTCATCATTGATGTTTCTGTCTCTCCATCGCCCTTCCTCTCTGAAATCAATAAAGAAATATTAAAAAAAAAAAAAAAATCACTTCTCACTGAGGAAGGAAGAGGCAGGAGAAGTAGAAAGAGCAGCTGTGTGTGCGAGGCGGGCTGGCCTGACCCTTGGTTCAGTTCTGTCCCTTTGAAAATGTTAAAATAACAATCACTCATTCTTTTTGTTATATTTTGTATGCCTGTTACTCTAAAATAATGTAAAGGTTTTTTTCCTTTAATTGTCAGAAATAGCTATCTTGATTTTCCACCCTTTTGAAATGCAGCCATTCCATTTCACCAAATTTGAATGGTTCCTTCAGGGAATTCATTGTCCTTTATATTCGTATTTTCTGATTATCATGACAGGCTGCTTTATTTCCTTACTTGTCATCAACTCTTGAATAAAGAGGCAAAAATGGCATAACGGAAGGAACTCTAAAAAAGAGCCATTAGAAGTGGCGTCCAGTCCACTGTGGACCCGGGCGCGTGGGTTTGGCTGTTCCTCAGGTGTTAGAGGCCTGGGAGGCAGGTTGGAGGATTGTGTTTAAAAAATTCTAAGTACTTGACACATGGTATGTGTTTGTAATACTAAATAGGCAGAACATCGGAATGCTTAAGGAAAGCAAAACAGAGACCCTGCAGTCAGTGAAAACTTCAGTAAGCTCAGTGCTAAGGATAACACGTGGTGTCCGGTTCTATGGAATCCAGTCTCTCAAACTATTTTTAACAAATCAATTTGTAGTTTGTAACTTGAGACTAAACTATAGAAAATAATGCATTTTAATTTAAAAGCTACTAAGTGACATCCCTTCACAGACCCCATCCCTAGAGTGTTGGTTTTGAGGTATAGTTTTCCACATCACAGTAAAAAAAGATAAAAGCTGTGCAAATGCATTTCTCACAACAAACTTAAGGTGAGCTCCACCTAGAGTCAAAGGTATGAATTGCAGCTCACAGACTCCACGTCATTTGGTTTGTCCTTTAATTCCTTCCCATTGCTGTCTCTGCGTATTACTAATTCAAAATAGTTTGTAGCTAGTCCTTTGTTTCATTTCCATTTGATCCTACAAGACACCAAAAAAACTACAGACTCAGTTCTGGACCTCTGTATTCTCTGCTGAGAATAGATATTACCTGACTTTGCTGTAGTCAGTGAGAACAAACTGTGATTGGGATTTCTTCTTAAGAAAATAAATTTGGCTCTTTTTCCTCATCTATGAAAGTGACACAAGCTCCCTATAGATGGAAAATTATAGGAAAGGCACAGAGTCAGGCGATCCATCTCTCCATTTTCCTACAGAAGGTCACTCGGGGATAACCACTATTATCATTTCATGAATTTCTTTCTGTTTTTCCCCCCAAAACAAAAATATGTAATCCGTACATACATTTAAATTTGTGGTTATATAATGCAATAGTTTTTCTTATTTATTTCACAAAATATTACATTGTGAGCACTTCCCCGAAGTCATTAAAAAATTAGTAAAAATTACATTTCAGTAGCTGGGTTATTTCAGGCCTTAATAGCCAGCCCTCTGTTGTTGGGCACGTAGGTTATCCGATGCACAGGTTGGAGGCAAATGTTTTTTGTTCAGTATGTACTGTGATCCTACTGTGTACGCCATTTAATAGCCTTCACTTTTTATTTTATATTAAAATGCCAGCATGTTTCCATATTCATATACCTTTTTCATAGCATAAACTTTCTTTTCTTTTTTTCTAATTTTCATTTATTTATTTTAGAGAGGGAGCCAGAAGGAGAGAAACATCAATGTGCTGTTTCATCCATACACACATTAGTTGATTCCTGTATGTGCCCCGACCGGGGATCGAAACATAACTGTGGTGTATCGGGATGTTGCTCTAACCACTGAGCAACACGGCCAGGGCTCCTGAGCATACATTTTCACAACCGCTAATGAAATGCCCTGTTTATTTCCACGTCAAGGGCCCTCACTGAGCTGGCCTCCAGAGGACAGATGCCTTTTGCTGAGCTCTTCCCTGCCTCCTGTCACCAGTTCTCTCTCATCCTTGCTTTGGGCTGGTCCCTCGCTGAGTACTCTTCCGTCAACGTCCATGGTTCTGTCCAGATGTCCCTGCAGGTCCTCGGTGGCAGAGACTCCGCCTCCCTTGTCTGTTCTTCTCATCACCCGTTCTCTCTGACGCGCTGCTTTCCATGCTGTCATCCTTTTTCCTTTAATTCCTTTCCTTCTCTTCCTACTTTATTGTTTGGGGTGCTGTGTCTGTTAGTGTTTCTTGGTGAAGTCAGATGTGTTGCAAGGAGAAAACAGTGTCTCCTTCCCCCATTTACCACAGATGGATCTCAGTGCTGACAAACAGCAAAGAGGAGGCCCTGACCATGGCCTTCCGCGGGGAGCAGAGCACGGGCGAGAACAGCCTGGAGGACCTGACCAAAGCCATCATCGAGGACGTCCAGCGGCTGCCTGGCAACGACGTCTGCTGCGACTGCGGCTCTTCAGGTCTGTGTCCCCCACACAGAGCTGGCGTGGTCATCGCCTCCGCTCTCCCTGCGGAAGATGCGTGAGCTAGGGACCTAAAACCCTGCCTCCTTACGGACACGCCCAGCACGGTCCCCAGCGTGAATGACCCTAGAAAGCTCCCACTGCTCTCCCCACTCGGTCCCCTGCCTAAATACCATCTTTCCTGGTGAGGCCCAGTGAAATGGCACCAGGGGCAGCGTAAGGAGAGCACTGGGCCTGGATCCATCATCCTGGCTTTGAATCGCCAGTCTTCCCCCTCACTTCATTTGGTTTTCAATTCAGTATTGAAAGGAAAATTTTTTTAAAACATGTCATATTACACTTTTTGCTCTCTAACAAGCTATTGGTGTTTATCATAGGCCCTCGGCCAGATGCAGGCGTCTATCTATGTCTTCCATTTAAATCTTCCCCCGTAACTCTTTCACATTGGACCGCTGTTAAGTTTTAGCATCCTCTGGAGTTGGCACACTAAAACTAGATTCCTTGTTTATTCACTATGTCTCCACAATCCTTCCCACAGAACCCACCTGGCTTTCGACCAACCTGGGTATTTTGACCTGCATCGAATGTTCTGGAATCCACAGGGAAATGGGTGTCCATATTTCCCGCATCCAGTCTCTGGAACTAGACAAGCTGGGAACTTCTGAACTCTTGGTGAGTAGTGGCCTGTGCTATGGAAGAAAAGGTTAGGCATCTATTGCCGTGAATACAGGTAGCATAGTGCTTTGAGGTTTCTGTTTCTGGTGAGGACACAGACATCTCCTTCCTGGATGTTGTTTAATTTGCATCCATACTTAAGATGCGAATTTTGTGGTGCGCAATGTTGACGTTTCCATTTCCCGTGCGAAGAACTGGTGAGTCACACATTTCCATACTCAGTTCCGCTACCGGCTCTCTCTTCTGGGGGGGGCTTTTTCAGAGCTGTTTTCTTCTTTCGGAATTAGTCTCACATGATTCACTGAAAAGCAGTCAAGAGGGGGAAGCTCTGAACTCCCACATTCACCTTACCCAGGGGCTTCTGTCATCCGAAACAGTGACCTTAAGAGTTCTCTGTTTTCACTTTTTGTGAGTTTCTAAAACTGCACGTGAACTGCGAGTGGCCTGTTAGCTCCTGTCCTAACACCAGTCACTCCTCCTCCTGGACTCCTTTAGGCAGTGAGGGAAGGCCTGTGCAGGTGTGGGCTTATCACCTGCCCTCCCCATCATGATTCACCCAAATTTGGGGTCTTTTCAGGTCCCCCCAGTATGAAGATCCGGTCGGGCATCTCCCAAAATGCCTGTGGCCATGAGCCCTGTCTTGCACAATGTGAACTTGGCGGGCCGGGATTCACACTAACTGGTCTCCAACAGTAAGAGTGCAGGGCGTGAAACAGGCTCCAGCTCAGACCCAAGGCCCTCGAGCCAAACCTGAGCGAGTGAGCCTGGCTCCACAGCCGGAAGCCCAGCTCCTCGGGAGCTTGTCTGGCGCCCAGCACCCCAGAGTCAGCCACCAGCCAGCAGCCGCGTCGTCTGAGCACCCCTCAAGCAATGGGGGGCTGTCTTGGGTGTAGGAGCCCCTTGATTTAGGAAGTAGGAGAGGAGATGTAGGAAGTATTCTGATGCCGGCTCCGTGGTCACTCAGCACCGGAGGGGAAAGGCTCAGGGCTAACACTGAAACTTGCTCCTCTCGTGTGGGTCTCCTTGACTCATCAGTGACACCCAGTGTGACAGCCAGAAACAGGAAGAATCCACGTGATGGACTCACGCCTTTCCCCAGTGACGGCTGCCATGGATGCTTCTTACACTTACTGTTGATTCCCACGTTCTCTGAACGGCCAGAGCACCTTCAGGGTAGATTTTGGGGGGAGAGGTACCCAGAAGCATGGAGCTTCTTCATTAGCTGCCTGCTGCATCTTTTTTTTTTTAATCTTCACCTGAGGATATTTTTCCATTGCCTTCAGATAGAATGGAAGGGAGGAAGGAGGAAAGGGCAGGAGGGAGGGAGAGAACGAGAGACATCAATTGGTTGCCTCCCGCTCCTGCTCTGACAGGGGCCAGGGAATGAACTTGCAACCCAGGTATGAGCCCTTGACTTGAAGTCAAACCCGCACCCCTTCGGTTCGTGGGCTGACACTCCAACCACTGAGCCACATTGGCCAGGGCGGCATCTTAATTTGTATCCCCCATATAAAGGAGCCCTAAATTCTTTTCTGTCTAATTAGAGTAAATCCCCTCAACCAAAAATGAAGCACGGCGGTGGTTGCAGAGCCAGTGTTGTTCAGTAAGCATTTAACCTAGATCCCTATGTGGAGCCTGCCGTGTCGGATTCAGATGAGGTGTGTGTGTGTGTGTAGAACCACATCCTATTTTGTTCTAGCTCTTACCACACTGTATTTGTAAAAACCATTAGTTTTCTTACCTCTAAATCAGTTAGCTCCTCCGGGAGGGAACATGGAATCCCTTCTCTGTGTTTCCAGCACTGAGGCCTGGCACGTAGTAAGTGCTCAGCAAATACCTGTCAACCAGGTGGATGGGTGGTTCTTATCCTGAGTCAAGTGAAGGAAGGCACGCAGTCAGCCATAGTGGGGAACTTTTAGACCTGTGGTAACGAGCTCGCTGCGTTGTGTCTGTTACAGCTGGCCAAGACCATCGGGAACAATAGTTTCAATGATATTATGGAAGCCAATTTACCCAGCCCCTCACCGAAGCCTACCCCAATGAGCGACATGTGAGTACTTCCAACATACTGAATTCTTTACCATCTGTCATTGTTTTTCAACCCTCCCAAAAAATCATCTTAGTGGTTATAGGACCCCCTCCCCTCCCACCTCCCAAGAGGAAACTCCATTATGAGGAATGAGGAAAAAGCAGAGCAAATAAACGTATTTCGAAACACGCTTGTGGAAAGCCAGGTTATTTTCAGCATCACCTCCACCTGGGGAGTCACTAGCGGCTGCTCGGAGGGTAAAGCGTCCCAAGGACGATTCTCTCAGTCACGCCTGTTGTGATAAACAGGAGACGCAGCAGCAGGGGGAGACGCAGCAGCAGGGGGAGATGCCTGTCGGGTTGGCAAAGGCCCAGATGCGTGGCAGCCCCCCGCGGCGAGCCTGTGGGGAAGCGGACGTCCCAGAGTCCCCGGGGCGGCCCCTGGGGTCCGGGTGGCCCTGCCCGTGAGGAGCGCTCACTGTATTGGTCACAGTCAGGACTGTGTTTACCTTTGACTCAGCCGGCCCACTTCAGGGGGTTCGTTCCCGTTGTGTCAGAGAGGAAGATGTAGGAATGAGTGCATGAATCCCTCTGCTCACAGACATGTTGTCCAGACTCAGGAACTGAATTGTGGGCACGTTTGCTGATCTATCCCTCACGTTTGAACTCTCACAATTTACTGTCTGGACTCAGACACCAAATAGATTTACATAACCATGCACTTACTTGAAATTGTGTTTGCTTGAAGAAACCCGGGAAAAGACTAGTACCCAGCAACCTTAAGGGCTTGGTCTGGGTGGTGTGACTGTGAGACCCCTCAGTAAACCCCTTCTGGTATCATTTTTAGTTTTGAGTCAAGTGCATCTTTAAACCTATTCAAAAACTTTCACATTGGCTTTGCACTTGAAATTTGTTCGATCCTGTGGGTGACTAGGAAGAAAGATAGCATTCTTCTCGCGATCAGCGAAGGTTTTGTGAAGCAGGCGCCTGCCTACATGTCAGACCAGCCCCTCCTAGGTGGTTATGCGGGCACCAAATTCGCAAAACTATTATGGGACACAATCCAGGCAACATGGTTCTTCCGCTCTGAACTCAGCAGACCTCCCCATAGGTCTTTAATGGCGTATCTTAAACCAAAATAACTTCTCAAAAAGCAGCCTGGGTCCGCAAAGAGGTGACCCTCTCTCAGCCCTGGGAAATGACGCTGCTCGCCTCTCGCTCTGTCTAGGACCGCACGGAAAGAGTACATCACGGCGAAGTACGTGGACCATCGGTTCTCCAGGAAGACCTGCTCCTCTCCGTCGGCTAAGCTGAACGAGCTGATGGAGGCCGTGCGGTCCCGGGACCTGCTTGCCCTCGTCCAGGTCTACGCGGAAGGCGTGGAGCTCATGGAGCCGCTGCTGGAGCCCGGGCAGGTGAGGCCGTGCTGGCGCCATCAGATCGAGGGGAGTGTGGGCCGTCCCTTTCAGCGATGACTCGTTATTATAATGAGGCTGCCACACACCAAGTGCCCCGTTGAAATCAGGAAAATCTGAGAGGGGAGGGGGGCTGTTGCTAATTATATGGGGGTAATGATGTAAAAGAAATGGCTCTAGCCGAAACCAGTTTGGCTCAGTGGATAGAGCGTCAGTCAGCCTGCGGACTGAAAGGTCCCAGGTTCGATTCCGGTCAAGGGCATGTACCTTGGTTGTGGGCACATCCCCAGTAGGGGGTGTCCAAGAGGCAGCTGATCGATGATTCTCTCTCATAGATGTTTCTAATTCTCTATCCCTCTCTCTTCCTCTCTGTAAGAAATCAATAAAATATATTTTTTTTAAAAAGAAAAGAAAGGAACGGCTTAGACCAAGTAGGACATGCGACCGCCTGTTTATACTTACCTGTTCTTTTCAGGAGCCCGGGGAGACCGCCCTTCATCTTGCAGTCCGAACTGCAGACCAGACATCTCTCCATTTGGTTGACTTCCTTGTCCAAAACTGGTATGGTTTCTGTTTCCTCTGAACGGGCCTTGTAAGTTAGCACAGGCCAGTCCTGTTAGCAGCCGCGATCAGTCATCAGCATGCCCTTCTGGAAAGAGCCAGATATTACTTTAGGCTTTGCAGGCCATGAGGTCTCTGTCGCAGATGTTCAACACTACCACTGCAACAGGAAAAAAAAAGCAGCCAGAGGCAGTATGCAAATGAGTGCGCATGGGCATGTTCCAATAAAACTTTATTTACAAAAACAAAGGGTCAGAGAAGGCCTGCAGCTGTGGTTCACCAACCCCTGATCCTATCTCGGGGTACAAAACCTGCTGCGCTAAGAAGGTTGGGAAGAAAAAAAAAGACTTAACAGGGCAGGTCCACAAGATGTTCATTGTAAGACAGCAGTGTGTGGCTGATTTGGACTTGGGATGTGCTAATAGGAGTATAATATTCAGCATAGGAGGTTTGGACTTGCTGGGTTCTTCATGGGGTAGATCTGTAAGCCACAGATTTTGAGGAGGAACCGGGTGAGCAAAACCATGAGGGCGATCCAAGCCATGCTGTGTGAATGGCCAGGCCCCTTAGAAGTGCCGTGGTCAAGAGCATTGGCTAAGAACACACGTTTCCGGCATTCACGTGGCTCCATCATCCATGTCTTGGTAATCTCAAACATGCACACTACATCCTCCTCTCTGTGCCCGAGTGTTTTCATCCATAAAGTGAACGTTGTGATAGCAACTTCCCATCAGGGGGTTGTGAAGGTGACATGAGCGAGGACAGGTGAAGGGCGGAGAGACAGTGTCTGTCTCACAGTACACTCGGTGCTGACTACTGTCGCCACGTGTTGCTTGTAAGTTTGGGTGAGATGTTAGAACATCCTAAGTTTATAATAAACAGGTCTGAGATTTGACTCAGCTGTTAGCCCAGACATAGTGGTTCACCCAGCAGTGTTGAGCTCGAAAGGCAGCCGTTACTCCCTCCCCCCCCCCCACTCTGGTTTTTCAGTGGGAACCTGGACAAGCAGACAGCCCTGGGGAACACGGCCCTGCACTACTGCAGCATGTTCGAGAAGCCCGAGTGCCTGAAGCTGCTGCTCCGGAGCAAGCCCACCGTGGACGTGGGTGAGCACGTGCGGGGCTCAGCAGCCGGCGGGACCTGAGCTTGCCTGCTGCACTGTAATCTGACCGTTGTCTCCGCCTATCAGAGGTCTGTCCTAATCACACACGTGTGTTTCCCCTATTTCAGTGAACCAGGCTGGAGAGACTGCCCTCGACATAGCAAGGAGACTGAAAGCCACCCAGTGTGAAGATCTGGTAAGCAGCTCTGTGGCTCAGAGGGTAGAGCATCAGCCTTCAGATTAAAGGGTCCCAGGTTCAATTCTGGTCAAAGGCACATGCTCTGGTTGTGAGGTCGATCCCCAGTAGTGGGCATGCAGGAGGCAGTGATCAGTGATTCTCTCTCATTGATGTTCCTATCTCCCTCTCCCTCCTATATATATATATATATATATATTTTTTTTTTTTTTTTTTTTTTTTTTTTTTTAAGAAAAAGATGTGGTAAGCAGGCGTGGCCATGAGGTGTGGGTGTCTAACAGACATCAGCTGCCCTGAAGTGGCGTTCTCTGGAAGCAATTTTTTTTTTTTTTTTAACTTTGGCTAAAGAGATTCCGACAAGCACCGTGGCTGCATTTGCAAACACGATAAATGTGTCCCCGCCTGTCCTTGGCGCGCAGCTGTGATGGGGAGCTGGGGGGCGTGTGAGAGGCGGTGTGGCCGCCAGGCTTAGGGCCGCAGTCATTCGGCTTCCTCTGTGGCTCTCGGTCAGAAGGACCTATCTAGGCAGCCAAACAGCCGGGCAGGTCAGGTGCAGAGCACACTGGTCTTGAAACGTTAAGCACGCGGCTCTTCCCCCGTGTCCCTGCACGCACTCACCTCTTCTGACCCCACCGGTCCCTGCTCACAGCTCCAGGCCGCTGCGGACCTCGGTGCCCATAACCCGGGGAAGGGAGAGATAGGAAAGGCAGGTTCCCTGCCCGGGCTCCAGGCCCGCGGTGGCGCTTTTCTGTTCCCGCCAGGCTCCTGCGAGGAAGTCTGGCTGCCCCGTCCCCGTGTGTGACTGAGAACGGGGGGAACGTGGGCTGAAAGGGGGATGTCTGATCTGAAAGGCCCGCCCCTCGCACTTCCCTGACTGTGATTCTGCCCTCCAGCCAAGAATTTTGCAGTTTTGAGACTCATTTTGATTTTAATAATATGTAAGAAGGCTTTGCACCCTGGAGAACAGTCACGCTGTCAAACTAAAACTGACCAAGCCCGGAACTCCCGGCAGTTCCTCTGAGCGGCCCGCTGGCCCAGCGCCGACAGCCGGGGTTTGCTTAGGAAGCCGCCGCCGCTGCTGGTTCACGGGGAGCCGGGCACAGGCGGGGTTCGCTCGGTGTCTCTGTGACGTCGGGGTGTTTGGCGTTGGGATGACCGTGGCTGCGCCCGCCGTTCCTTTCAGCTTTCCCAGGCCAAGTCCGGGAAGTTCAACCCGCACGTGCACGTGGAGTACGAGTGGAACCTGCGCCAGGAGGAGATGGACGAGAGCGACGACGACCTGGACGACAAGGTGAGTGTGAGTCCCCGCTTCTCTGCCCGTCGGCCGAGACCGAGCGAGGCCGCGCGGTCTGGGACCTGCTGCACCGGGGCCACGGTCCTGGCTCAGACTCTGTGCCCCTCTGGGTCCCACGTAGCAGCCGCCTCAGTCAGGGGTCTCCAGAGAAACAGAACCGTCGGGACGTGTATCCCTGGAGAGAGCGCCTGGGGGATTGCTTTCAGGGGGTTGGCTCACACGTGCCTGAGGGCTGACTAAGTCCAAAATGTATGGGAAGGCCCAAACCGGTTTGGCTCAGTGGATAGAGCCTCGGCCTGCGAACTGAAAGGTCCCAGGATCGATTCCGGTCAAGGGCAAGTACCTTGGTTACGGGCACATCCCCAGTTGGGGGAAAGAATCTTTTTTAAAAAAAATCGGGACTTTTTTAAAACACACAGGACGAGGGACAAATGGTTAGAAATCGGGACTGCCCCGCCAAAAGCGGGACATCGGGTCACCTTAATTTAGAGGCAACAGGCCATCCTGGTAACCGTGGAAACCCCGATAATGGGAGTTGGGGGGTGCTGAGGAGTGCTCGCAGGACACAGCAGTGAAGATCTTGTCACGGACGGACGGGCAGCGGAGAGGGCTCCTAAGGCCAGGGAGGAGCTGGCCGGGCAGAGGGAGGAGGAATGCATCCTCCCAGGAAGGGAGAGCGCGTGTGCAAAGGCCCAGAGGTCACGCTGGTGCCCGGATGTGCGGGAGGTGAGAGCTCAGCGTGTGAGGCCGCTGCACGTGGGCCGGGCGGAGAGAGGCCGGAGGCGGCCGCAGAGTCAGGCAGCCCGGCTCAGGAAGCTCTGTGGGCTGCGTTTGACCTCTTGGCTTTGGATAAAGCCAGTGAATTTTTCACTCACACCGGTGGCTGTGAGAAGCTGACAGAGATTTCTGGTGGGAAGGGCATGTTTCCTACCAGCCCTGCCTGCGTGAGTGCGGAAAGCGGGTTGAACGAGACGGAATCGGGCTGTTCTTGGGGGCCATTGCTTCTGTGGGAGCTGGGGGGTCCGTACACACAGCCTGGGGGCGTTGCCGAGCGCTCTGTGCACAGCCGTGGCTCTGGCAGAGGTTCCTGACTCGGAAAGCCGTGGATGCTAAAGCTGTCACTGGAATGCAGATCCATGAGGTGGGGGTGGGCCTGCAGGTCTGAGTCAGCACTGGGTGTCAGTCAAAGCCAGGGGTGTGGGTGAGGTTGCTTCTCAGAGGGTGCACGGGGGAAGAGAGGTGAGGATTGAGAATCCCAGCTTTAAATGGCTGACCACGAAGGAGCGTGTAATGGCCCGTTGTTCAAATGCTGGCGACCATGGCCTGCACCAGAGGGACTTGTGGATCCAAGCCTAAACCTAACAGATCTTCAGCTTCTGCTGCTGCTGATCCCTAACCAGTGTCCCCCTAACGTGACCCTGGTGATGGTGACGTGAGGAAGGTCTGCGTCCTTCCCGGTCCCGTGGGGTCTTCTCGGGCCGGCGTTGTGGGTACCCAGGAGCCCGCCCGCCGTGCGTCTGGAGGGCTGTCTCACCCTCTGCCCTGTTCTCTCCCCTCCAGCCGAGCCCCATCAAGAAGGAGCGCTCTCCGCGCCCCCAGAGCTTCTGCCACTCCTCCAGCATCTCCCCCCAGGACAAGCTGGCGCAGCCGGGCTTCGGCACCCCGCGGGACAAGCAGCGGCTCTCCTACAGCGCCTTCCCCAACCAGATCTTCACCTCCACCAGCACGGACTCGCCCACATCGCCCACCTCGGAGGCACCTCCGCTGCCTCCTCGAAACGCCGGCAAAGGTACGGGCTTTGAGAAGGGCCTCGGGGCTCCATCCTCGGAGCGAGGAGTCACCCAGCCTGTGGGTGGAAGTCCCAGGTGTGTGTGGGTGGCAGCCTCTGGAATGGGATGCCAGCACCAGCAGACAATGTTGTGGGCACGCCACACGCATTCCATGTGAACCTCACGGCAGTCCTGACTGGGGTGTGCTCTTTGCACCCATTTTGCAGATATGGGAACTGAGGCTTAGGGAGGTAGAGTGGCTTGTCAAGGTCATGAAGCTGGTAAGTGGTAAAGTTCAGATTCAATCCAAGGTCCACAGAGGATCCGAGACCTGGGCTTTTTCGTAAGAGGATTTTTGTTATGTAAAAATGGCTTTCCCCTAGACCAGCATGCCTCTCTTCTTAAGATGGTGTGTCAGCAGCATTGCTTACAGATGGAGCCCTGGATGCCCCAGACCCAGTCTTTCCATTTCCTGTTCACAATGAGGTGGGGGCGACAGTGCTGGTCGTGGGGACTGGAGGACAGTGGCTCAGAAATGCTGAGTGAGTGGCCTACGGCTCTCGGCTGTGAGGATGCTCCCCAGGCCCTGTGTGACCTGAACCCCTGTGTGATCTAACCCTTCTGTCTCTCTGCGATGAGGCAGGCCCCATGGCAGAATCCTCCCCGGAGGAGGGGATGGGGCAGGCTAATGCCGGAACCATCGCCTTGTTCTCTAGAAACCAGTGCTTGTCCTGTGCCCCTGGGTCCACAGAGATCATCCTGCGCAGGAAGTCAGGTGTTCCCCCAATGGTAAGGTGACCAGACGTCCCGCTTTTGGCGGGACAGTCACAATTTTTGAAAAATCGGGACTTTTTAAAAACGCTGCGGGACAAGTTGTTGAAAATTGGGACTGTCCCGCCAAAAGCGGGACGTCTGGTCACCTTAACCAACAGGAATGGGGACAGAGGAGAGCCAGAAATGCCCACATCCCAGGGCCAGGCAGCTGTGGAAGTCCAGGGGCCCCGGGCGGAGCTGGGATGTGCTCTCAGCCAGGACTCCCCCTGCACAGCCCAGCGCAGCGGCTCACGCGGCTTCGCGGCCGCTCCGCGCACAATGCGGGCCTATGGCAGCCACACTGGGGCCATTTTCTGGGAAATGTGAGCTTTATTCAGGACGGTGTTTGTTCGGAGCTCATTCTCCATTGAGATAGCGTTATAAATGGGAGCTGTGTTCTCAGAGACCCCGGATGGCCTCGTAGATCACAAACTAGCGGGGAGAGTGAAGCGGAGGCTCTGGTGTGGACAGTTCTCAACGAAGATGGCCAGTGACCGCGACCACGGTGACAGCACGTGTGAGCCAGAAGGTTAGCCGGCAGTGTTTTTTTAGCTGCTCCCCATGTTTGCTGGCACGTACCTACGCAAGGCACCCAAGTCCCCTGTCAATCACTGATGGTGGGTTGGGCCTTCGCTCTGGGCTGCTGCTGCTCACCTGGGAGGAAACGCCCCAGCAGGGGTGCGGCCTGGTGAGACGCCTTCTCGGAAAGCTCACTGGGTCATGTACCATGCACTTGGGAAGCGGTGATGCTTCGAGCAAGTTCTTTTTGTTTTTTCTTCTTTTCTTTTTTTAATATTTGATCATTTCTATAACCATAAACACTTTTTTTATTATTATTATTGATTTTTTAACAGAGAGGAAGGGAGAGGAGAGAGATAGAGAGTTAGAAACATCAATGAAAGAGAGACATCGACCAGCTGCCTCCTGCACACTCCACACCCGGCATGTGCCCGCAACCAATGTACATGCCCTTGACTGGAATCGAACCTGGGACCCTTCAGTCCACAGACGGACGCTCTATCCACTGAGCCAAACCGGTTTCGGTGGGACATTTTCAGTGCCATCCAGGCTGTGGGGAGCCTGGTGCTCCCTGAACAGTCAGAGCTCAGCCACCCACCCAGTCAGCATCGTCTGCACCCATTTCTCCCTGCCCCTGGGGGCCCAGCACGGAGTGCGGGCAGAGGGAGACAAGGCCGGCTCTGAAGAGGGAGGGTGGAGACAGACACTGAAGTTCAAATCCCCGCCAATCCCAGGATTGAGGGGGACCGTGGAATCATGCTGAATCCCGCTCAGGAATACTTTCCGTAAGCTCCAGCTGCCTCGTCAGAATGCAAGGACGTTTGACTTCATTGCCTCCCAGCAAAGCCTCCTTGTGCTCGGGCAGAGGGCAGAGCTGTCAGCAGCGGGAGACCCAGGGCCCCTGTGGCCATCCTGGAGCCTCAGCAGGCGCGCTGGCTGCTCCCCTGTGCGGTGGGAGGCCCCGCGGGATGCGGTCAGAGCCGCGAGCTAAGTGAGCAGCCGTCTCTCGCTGTGCCGCTCCCCCCCCCCCCCCCACGCGCTCCTTAGGACTAGATAGGCATTTCCAGGCCTGCCGGGATCACTGCCTCCTCTCTCACTGACATCAGGCCATGGGACCAGGACATCTGAGAGCAAGAGGAAGCTGGGAGGTCAGGCCAGTCCGCAGCCATTGCGCAGCCAGGAGAGCCCTGGGGAGGGGTGGGGGGGCTTGGGGTCACTGGGTGGCTGCAGTGGGACAGAAAATGAGCATGGGCCTTAGGACGTGTCCGGCCAGACCTCGTTTCTCCCTCCGCGTGTCAGGAAAGATGGTCCGTCTCCTCCGGCCCTGCTGGTGGAATTGCCCTCGGAAGCCAGGGAGACCGTCCAGGAGAAAGGCTGTCGGGAAGCAGAACCCTGGGCTGCTGGGAGGCTCCTGCCGGGACTGGGCTGCGGGTCTGGTGCCGCTAGAATCTGGAGAGAGGGGCGAGCACCGTGAGACTGTCCTCAGAGCAGGCCCTTGAAAACAGACACTAGACCCTAACCTGTTTGGCTCAGTGGAAGGGTCCCAAGTTCAGTTCCAGTCAAGGGCATGTACCTTGGTTGCAGGCACATCCCCAGGGGGGCGGTGTGCAGGAGGCAGTTGATGGATGTTTCTCTCTCATCGATGTTTCTAACTCTATCCTCTCTCTTCCTCTCTGTAAAAAATCAATTTTTTTTTAAAAAGTACCTTTTCTTTAAAAAAGGAAAAAGAAAACAGACACCAGTGCTTACAACTTAACACTGTTTTTAAGTAACTATAAGCTACGGACCTGCCTCTTTCTCCCAGCTTGCGATTCCCCGCCATAGGCGGCGGCCAAGCTGCCGCGGAGCTGGGAGGGGCGGACACTCATGAGGAGGAAGGGGCATTCAGCTCAGCCTGGCGTGGGCAGGGCAGGGCCCGGCGGGCGCCGTGCTGCTGGCCTGGGCCTCTGCAGCTAATGCTGTGCCACTGGGGTCCCCCTGCCGCGCGGGAGTCCTGGCCGGTCTGCGCCGGCTTCCGTGTGTCTGCACACTCCACCCCGAGGGGCCTGTTTCCCCATCTCAACACTGTCCTTCCCACGCAGTACCTCTGAGTGGCCCATTGTCTTTATCCTTTATAGCAGTGGTCGGCAAACTTGTTAGTCAACAGAGCCAGATATCGACAGGACAACGATTGAAATTTTTTTGCGAGCCACATTTTTTAAACTTCTAACACCACTTCTTCAAAATAGACTCAACCAGGCCGTGGTATTTTATGGAAGAGCCACACTCAAGGGGCCAAAGAGCCGCATGTGGCTCGCGAGCCGCAGTTTGCCGAGCACTGCGTTAGAGTAACAAAATTTTTACTCTTTTAAGCGCTATCCTGGGGAAACCCTGGGAAAATGGCCATTCGCACTGCCCACAGCTGTACAGGTGCAGCCTGTGTCGCTGACATTGGGCGGCGTGTTAGAATACTGACGCGACACCGAGATTGTCAGGAAGTGTTCAGTCCTCTTCTGGGCCTTGTTTTCCTTTGAGTAAGTTACATCTTAGTTGGTCTCCCCGCATGGGAGACCTGGGTTTCTGTTTTGCCAACAACCAGAGGCATGAGGACACTGGAAAGGAATCTGCCTGACTTAGCCACAGCCCTGCCTTAGCCCGGAACGTGCGGGCAGTGGGGGGAAGGTCCGTGGATCTGGCCCTGAAGAGGCTGACGGCAGGAGGAGCGGCAGGCAGAGAAGCCAGTGACGTGGGTCCTCATGGGAGTTCAGAGATAACAGCGATGGCTCCGGGCGGAGGGCTGGGTCCCAGGAGGCGTGCTGAGGTGACCTTTCAGCCGGCATCCCAGGCAGAGAGGCCAGAGGCTGCGGTGGCGCCGAGAGCGGGCCAGAGTCCCTCCGCCGATTCCCTGCAGGGACTGGCAGTGTCCCCCGCTCCGAGCCGCGGTCTCTGACGGCATTGCGGGACGAAGGTGGGTTCCAGGGGGCAGGGTGAGACTCTGTCTGCGGGCCAGCACCCAGCGCTCGGGACGCGGAGCTCCAGGGGACTCAGGAGTGGAGGGGGAGGTTTGACAGGCATGCTGGTTGCAATTCTAGGAATGATTTTTTTTTTTTTTTTTTTTTTTTTTTTTTTTCCTATATGTGGGTGTGGTTGGGCAGTTTTTCTGGATTTGAGTGGATAGATTTCCTGGCTTTTAAAGATGGAGCCTTATCGGGGGAGGTTGAATTCAAACTATTCACCCACTAGCTCAGTGTTAAGTTACTGGATCCAGCCTACTGGCCACCGGAACCTGGTGGTGAGACAGGCCATCAGCATGTAAACAAAGCTGTCCTCACAGAAGCTCTATTGATGGGCTGACGTGGTGTGAGGAACAGTCTCTTCCTGTTGACATGATCCCAGAGGCTCAGTGTGGCTCGGTTCGTGGTTACACGACCCTGGCCTAACGGCCCGTGAACTCGCCTGCACACAGCGCTGTTCAGACATCGCTCCCTTAGCAGGGACATTTGGTTCCAGGCAGGATCTGGAACCCATTGAATGACCTTTTGTGTGCAGTGCCCCAGCGCATCCCTAGGTGGCGATAGAGATGAAGTTGCTGTCCATCCAGTCCCCATTTATTTCCAGGAGGAAGTTACACTTCCTCACCCAGCACTCACTGCTGCCCTGGCTCTGGGGACCTGCAGCTTCGTGGGAGCGGGTGAGCACCTCCCTGTCCCAGAGACCTGGGGTGCGGTCCCAGCTCGCCCCGAGTGCCTGTCACCCTGACGTCCCCAGATCCCCACTTTCCTGGCTGCACAGCTGGGGGCCGTAATTCCCCACCCACATACTCTGCAGGGTCTTTATGAAAATCAAGGACACTTTGGAAAAGTAACAGCTTCAGACAAGTGGAAGGGTGCGGTAACAATGACTGTTGTTTCAGAGAGAAAGTGGTCCTGAGAGTGCCCTGATGGGGCCATAATCGGGTGTTGATGTGGGGTTACGGTCGGCTTCGAGATGCAGGACACCACAGGATTGAGAGAATCAGAGGCCAAGAGGTTAACCACTTTTACTGACTCTGAGAAACAAACTGCCAGCGAGACAGGCCACCAGCACGTAAAGTGCATGTCGATACTGATCAGTCATTGATCATGGGGAACATCACGCTGACATCACCAGGGCTGAGGCCGAGGCCAGCAGTTACTAAGCTTTTCTTTGACGCGCAGAATGTACAAAGCTCGGCAGCCTTTCTGGATCGCCAGGTGCCTACCGTCCTGTGTCCACATGTGGCGTGGCCGCGTTCTCAGCTTTTCTCTGTTTCTCTCCTTTTTTATTTACTGTTAATGTTTGCGGGAGCAGTTATTCATGAGCACAGTTAAATGTCTACATGGGGACAGTCTCAGAGAGACGTGTGTCCAGTGCCTGTGAGTACTGCCTGGCACCCACCAGCACTTCAGTGTCACTTTCCAGAAACAAAACTAACCACAACCATGTTTTTTTCTTAAAACGTGAGTTCAAAAACGTCAACCTTTTTGCAGTAATGGGTGTGTGTGTGTGTGTGTGTGTGTGTGTGATATTCATAAGATGACTGCTATCCTGTCTTTATCTCTGAAGGAACTTGAGTCTTTTCTTAGATCTGTAGAAATCAATGTCTAATGTACGTAACCTGTTGAGGTTTCTCATATAACAGGTGGTTTATGAGGTCCAGAACAACAATCAGAATTGGAGGGGAAAAAGAGTTTTGGGATTTCTCTTTTCTTCTGAATGATTCTTTTTACCTTAGCATCCTCCATTATTTACACGAGCCGTCAAAAAACGCGGGCCCTGACAGTGTGGTTCAGCTGGATTGAGCACCCTCCCCTGGGCCTAGGGGAGCCCATGCCTGGATTACCGGCTCGATCCCTGTAGGGGGCAGGCAGGAGGCAGCAGGTGGATGTTTCTCTCTCTCTCTCCTTCTCCCCTTTCTCTAAAATCAGTAAAAATATATTTTTAAAAAACTTGGACTTAAAGGAAAGGTCATGGCGGAAAGAAGAGTCTGGTGCTGCTGTGGCTCAGTGATTTCCCTGTCGGCGCCTCCTCCCCGGGTTCTGCCATGATTCCAGCGACTTAACCATGTAAAGCACGTGCCTTCTGTTTCCCGTTGTACCTAAGTGATCTCAGGGCATCGGCATGTCATGCTGGCGGGCATCCAGTTTCTTAAAGACACACACTCACCTTTCCTTGTTGTGGCTGCTTCTCACCAGCCGTTTTTAGAAGTCCTGTCTGTGCGTCGCTGGGTTGGCGAGCGTGGCCACCTTGGGCCTGCGCTTCCGTCCCTCCCCATGTCGGACCACCATCGACGTGAGAATGACTGCACACGGGCTGTTTGACATGTGAATGACTGCACACGGGCTGTTTGACATGTGAATGACTGCACACGGGCTGTTTGACATGTGAATGACTGCACACGGGCTGTTTGACAAGTGAATGGCTGCACACGGGCTGTTTGACATGTGAATGACTGCACACGGGCTGTTTGACAAATGAATGACTGCACACGGGCTGTTTGACATGTGAATGACTGCACACGGGCTGTTTGACATGTGAATGGCTGCACACGGGCTGTTTGACATGTGAATGACTGCACACGGGCTGTTTGACATGTGAATGACTGCACACGGGCTGTTTGACAAGTGAATGGCTGCACACGGGCTGTTTGACATGTGAATGACTGCACACGGGCTGTTTGACATGTGAATGACTGCACACGGGCTGTTTGACATGTGAATGACTGCACACGGGCTGTTTGACATGTGAATGGCTGCACACGGGCTGTTTGACATGTGAATGGCTGCACACGGGCTGTTTGACATGTGAATGACTGCACACGGGCTGTTTGACATGTGAATGACTGCACACGGGCTGTTTGACATGTGAATGACTGCACACGGGCTGTCGGATGAGCCCGGCGCTCACCTTCCCGCCGTTCGGTGCCTTTCCAGGTCCCCCCGGCCCGCCTTCCACGCTCCCGCTCGGCATGCAGTCCTCCGGCAGCGGCACCTCCACCCTGTCCAAGAAGCGGCCCCCACCGCCGCCCCCCGGGCACAAGAGAACCCTGTCGGACCCTCCCAGCCCACTACCTCACGGGCCCTCCAGCAAAGGCGCGGTTACCTGGGGTAGGTCGCCCGGGAGTCAGGGAGGGAGGTTGGGGGCAGAGGCCACGTGGAGCCCACTCGGACCCGCCGGTCAGCGGTGCGGCTGGAATTCCAGACTGGCCTGTCTGGCTGCGGCTGCGCACCTGCACCCCTCCTGTGAGCAGGTGCCGCAGGGAGGGGACAGGTGCTGCGGGGGGACAGGTGCCGCAGGGGGGGACAGGTGCTGCGGGGGGACAGGTGCCAGGGGGGGACAGGTGCTGCGGGGGGGACAGGTGCCGCAGGGAGGGGACAGGTGCCGCAGGGGGGGACAGGTGCCGCAGGGAGGGAACAGGTGCTGCGGGGGGGACAGGTGCCGCAGGGGGGGACAGGTGCCACAGGGGGGGGGGACAGGTGCCGCGGGGGGGGACAGGTGCCGCGGGGGGGGACAGGTGCCGCAGAGAGGGGACAGGTGCCACGGGGGGGACAGGTGCCGCGGGGGGGGACAGGTGCCGCGGGGGACAGGTGCCGCGGGGGGGGACAGGTGCCGCGGGGGGTGACAGGTGCCGCGGGGGGGACAGGTGCTGCAGGGGGGAACAGTTATTGCAGAGGAGGGCAGGTTCTGCTGGGGAGGGGGCATTTGCCGCAGGAAGAGGGGAGGGGGGGCTGAGGGACAGAGACATGAACACACAATGTCTTTGGATAATGGAGGTCACCTCAGTGGCCAGAGAACATTCTGTCCGGGAGGCCCAGCGCCGCCCCCGGCCAGCCCCAACCTGCCTCTGGTTCAGGGGAGGAGGTGATGGGTGGTTAGCGCAGACCTGCATGTGGGTCCTAGCTCTGACCCTCCCCAGCTACTCGGCCTGGGGCTTGACTGTGTCTCCTGTGGAGGGGGGACGGTGGAGGGCTGTGTTGTGTCCCAGGAAGGATTACTGTGAGCACTGAGCACAGAGCCCGCGCACAGTGGCCGCTCAGTGACCGGTAGCAGCCATTGCTGCGTTACCATTGGGGCGCCGTGTGGTCACGGTAAGCAGGTGGCTGTGGTCAGTCTTTCCAGTCCCTTCTGGAACCTCAGGGTGCCTGCCTGCCACACCCACGTCCCCACACGTTCTGTGTCTCTGGCGGAGGCTGCCACGTTCGACGTTTCCTTTTCCCTGCAGGTAACGACATGGGTCCATCCTCGTCCAGTAAGACCACAAACAAGTTCGAGGGGCTGTCTCAGCAGGCGAGGTAAGCCCGCATGTCCCGCTGGGCGTGTGGCTGCGGCGGCGGGCGGCACCACAGAGACGGGCATTGGTGATGGTCTACCCCACGTGGCCCGCACTGTGGGCCTGGCGCTGCTGGCCCGCCTGGGCGTGGACAGCCGTCCTCCATCGGGGCTCCAGGCGGACGGCCCTCACGCCCCTGAGTCAGGCTGCCGGAACGAGCGCTTATTTTCAGTTTCCACGTGAAGTCCTTTGGTCCTGGTACTTTCCCTCTGGGCTCAGGGGCGGGAGGTCACTTAGGAGGACGAGGGCTCTGAGTCCAGCAGAGCTGGGTCTGGATTTCCGTGTCCATCACCACCAGCCTCGCTCGGGGCCTCGGCCGGTCACCGCGGCCGCCGCCTCTGACAGTGGGGCGGGCGGGGTGACCTCAGTGTGCCATGCCGGGATGGGGCCCAGCTGCTTTCACCACGGTGCCCTGGGGAGAGACTTGGGAGGAGGAGGAGTCCGTCGGAACCATCCAGAACACCCTCCCAGCCGGGCCAACTTGGACTGGTGGGAACTAGACTGTCCTTTTGCCAAAGAGATCTGGCGAGGTTTTTAGATAGCTCAGCCTCCGGTTTCCTTGAATCGGAAATCACGATTCAAGGCTGACATTATAACACTTTAGGTCCTAAATGATTTTTTATTATTATTATTAATTAGCACCGGTTCCGCGAAGTCTGCCCTTGGCCCACGAGTTCTGCCTAAACTACCTCAGAAAGGTAAGGTCTCCTTTCTCCCTGCGCTCATGTGTAGCTCTGCGAGAAATAGTCCTGCATGGTTCTTACTGCGAAAGTGATGTGTGTTCATTCTAGGACACTTGAAAAATACGGGTAAGCAAAAGGGAGAAAATAAAAACCACCAAGAATGCAAACAACCAAGATAAACTGGAGGGTCCATCCTTTTACTTATTTTTCTGTGCTTTTCATAAGTTCCCATGTAAACGGATGTTGGAGAGAGAGAGAGAGTTAGAAACATTCATCAGCTGCCTCTTGCACACCCCCCACTGGAGATGTGCCCACAACCAAGGTACATGCCCTTGACCGGAATCGAACCTGGGACCCTTCAGTCCTCAGACTGATGCTCTATCCACTGAGCCAAACCAGTTTCGGCAACTGGCAAATACTCTTGCTAAAACAGTATATAGATGAAAGCAGATAGAAGTTTTATGTTTGGAAAATACACTAAAAAGTCAAGAAGGAAATACAAGAAAACATCTGCAGTGGCTACAGTTAGGTGACGGACTTCTGGAAACTTAACTCTGTACTTTCCGACTCTCTCTCTCTCTTATCTGTGTTATTCATGGTTTGGGGTTTTAATTTTGGCCTCATTCGAACATCCTTTTCTGACGTCACTGAGCGTGACACCTGAGTTGTGACGTGGGAGGCTTCCGGCTTCCGCTCTTGTTTGTTTGTTTGTTTGTTTTGAGTTTTTTTTAAAATATATTTTATTGATTTTATACAGAGAGGAAGGGAGAGAGATAGAGAGTTAGAAACATCAATGAGAGAGAGTCATCGATCAGCTGCCTCTTGCACACCCCCCACTGGGGATATGCCCGCAACCAAGGTACATGCCCTTGACCAGAATCGAACCCGGGACCCTTCAGTCCCCAAGCCGACGCTCTATCCATTGAGCCAACCGGTCCCGGCCCGCTCTTGTCTGTTTAACAAGGGCCTCCAGGTGCTCACGCTGGGTCGTGCTCAGCAGATGCCACCCCCCCCTCCTCCCTGTCCGCCCGTGACCCCCTCTTTGGCTTGTCCCTGCAGTGGCCCTCCGGAAGACCGAGACCAGCCACCATCTCTCCCTGGACAAGGCCAGCATCCCGCCCGAAGGCGCCCTGAAACCGGCGCCGCCGGCAGACCTGCCCCCGAAGCCCACCGACCTGGCGCCCAGGCCCCAGATGGGAGACCTGCCGCCGAAGCCGGGAGAACTGCCGCCCAAGCCTCAGCTGGGCGACCTGCCCCCCAAGCCCCACCTCTCAGACCTGCCCCCCAAGCCACATATGAAGGACCTGCCCCCCAAGCCGCAGCTGGCGGACCTGCTGGCCAAGGCCCCGCCGGGCGAGGCCCCGCCCAAGGCCCCGCCCGCCGACGGCGCCCTCAAGTCGCACTCGCTGGACCTCTCCCCGAACGTGCCGGCCCGGGACGCCCTCCAGAAGCAGGCCTCCGAGGACACCAACGACCTGACGCCCACCCTGCCCGAGATGCCCGTTCCGCTGCCCAGGAAGATCAACACGGTGGGTCCGAGGCCGGGGGATGGGGGAGGTGTGTGTGGGCGGGGTGGTGGCTGATGCAGAAGGAGCGGGGTCTGCAGGGCCTCTGAGGGAGACACCGGAGCACTGGCAGGAAAAGGTGCCCTTTTTTTCTTTTTCTTTTTTAATATGTTTTATTGATTTTTTACAGAGGAAGGGAGAGGGATAGAGAGTTAGAAACATCGATGAGAGAGAATCATCAATCAGCTGCCTCCTGCACACCCCCCCACTGGGGATGTGCCCGCAACCAAGGTACATGCCCTTGACCGGAATCGAACCTGGGACCTTTCAGTCCGCAGGCCGACGCTCTACCCACTGAGCCAAACCGGTTTCAGCAAAAGGTGCCCTTTTCATTACTAACTGTTGACTGCGCTAAGGTGCCCAGCGCTGGGTGCCCAACGCGTCCCCTGGAGGTCATTTCCCTATTTCCACCTTCCTGTTTGCCAAGAACTGGACGTCCCACAGATCAGAGCCCACGTACAGTTGGTCAGGCCTGAGAGCTTTGGGGAAGTGCCGGCTGCTGACTCTGCTTCGCATGCCGCCGGGAAGGGTGTGCGCGCTGCACGTTGACGGGCGGAAGCTGCAGATCGGCTTTGCATCATGCTTCCCAAATCCAGTTTTAGACTCTGCGTCATCCTGGCCTGCGGGGGTGGGGGTGGGGAGGGAAATGCTGTGTCCCTGGTGGAGCCGCACTGTCCCTTGTCCTCGTGGTGAACATGATGGGCGATGCCCGCTCGCCCCGGCCGGGCTCTCCCCTGATGCCAGGGGAAGGGACAGGGGCTCGGACACCTTGAGATGTCTGGGCACGCGGAGCCCATGGCAGACCTGCCCCGCCGTTCCCAGCGGAGACACTGAGGCTCAGGGAGGCCCCGGGCCGCTAACCGCCGCCTCCGTTTCGCAGGGGAAGAACAAGGTGCGGCGCGTCAAGACCATCTACGACTGCCAGGCCGACAACGACGACGAGCTGACCTTCCTCGAGGGCGAGGTGATCGTCGTCACGGGGGAGGAGGACCAGGAGTGGTGGGTACGTGCCCGCCCCCCGCCCCGGCAGTCCCTCCGGTTCCTTCCCTCGGGCGTGGGCTGCGCCCCGGACCCTGCCCTCCTGGCGGGGACCGTCGGCCCCTGTGTCCCCTGCCAGAGCAGCAGTGGGCCAGGGAGTTCACGTGGGACGGAAGCGCTTCAGCCGTGGTCACACCAGGGGGTTCTTCCCGTTCTCCCGATGGGAACCCGGAACTCCGGGGCGGGCCAGCGGGCAGGGTCGGTCCCGAGCCTGCGTTCTCGGCTGCCGTGGGCTGGACACAGCCGTGTTCCAGGCCCTCTGAGCTGCAGGCCGTCACGGAGGGACCGACAGGGGTCCTCCCCTCTGTCTGTCATGGGAGCCGGCGTGCAGGTCTTGTTACGTTTCCCACGATGGGTCCCCCGTAATCAGGTCCCACAGATGTAACAGGTAGAACCTTCTGCAGGTGACGGGCCAAGCACAGGCAGCAGCCAGGGAGCCTGCCGGCCACGCTGCTCTGGAGCCTCCCAGCACCCTCCCCCACGGTGGCCGGGAAACGAGCGAGGGCCATAGCAGCCCCCAGATGCGGGGCGTTCTCTGTCTCACAAGCCGAGGGAAGGGTGTTTTAGCCCGGGTTACAGACAGGAGGCTCAGCAAGCTCTGTCCCGCTTGCCCAGAGGGAAAGCAGCCGAGCCCCCTGAGAAACGCACATTTTATTCTGTTTCCAACACACCTCTTGGTTTCTCCCCACCTGTGTGCCCACCACCCCAAGCCAAATCTCCCTCCATCACCTTCTACCCCCTTCACCCCCTTTCCCTCCTCCGCCTCCCTCCCTCCCTCTGACGTCACCACACTGTGGTCTGTGCCTGTGAATGTTTCATTGGTGTATTTGCTCTGTCCCTTCACCTTTCTAGGACAGCTGCCAGCCTGCTCTCCTCTCCGAGTCTGTGTCTGTTTCGTTAGTTTTGTTCACTCGCTTCCCCCAGTGCGCGAGGCCGTGTGGCGCTTGTCTCTCTGGCCGGCGTCTTGCTCTGAGCGTAGTGCTCTCCAGGTTCCTTCCTGTCGACAGGGAGGACTCCCGTGGGCTGCCAGCGGGCAGAGGTGCACGGAGCTCCTGTTCTGTGGTTGTCACTGGCACGTGGCCGGCTGTCTCCGCTCCCAGCGGCCTGCCTCCACCTGACGCCTCTCGCTTCTCCCCACAGATCGGCCACATCGAGGGAGAGCCCGAAAGGAAAGGGGTCTTTCCCGTGTCCTTCGTCCACATCCTGTCGGACTAGCGAGGAGGAGAACCCGGGACTGTCCACGCCCTCCAGCCCCGGGCCCACGTGTACATAGCTGCTGTTACAGAACGGACCGCCGGCCACTCCGCACGGGGACGGCGCCGTGTGTCTTGTAAATAAACGCCCTGTTATCTCCCGCCTTCGCCAGTATTAATGGGAGCCGGGGACCGGCGTCTTCCCGGTTTGCCAAAGCCGTCCTGGCGTCTAGCACTTCCATCTCCCTCTGTGCCGTCCTCCAAGCGAGCAGGAACCTGGGGACCACCGGCTCTGCCAACGGCAGTGGTCTCGGCCGGACCGTGCCCAGCGCCAGTGTCCTCGCCCGTCCCTGAGCAGGCACGGCCGCTGGCAGAAGGCGATCTGTCTTCCGGGGAGACCGAGCTCCGCCAGGCTGCCTGCAGCCCGTGTTCAGTTTACAGCTCCACCGCCCGCTGGGCATCATGACAGCAAGCGCTCGGTTAACCGGGAGAGTGACCCTGCGGCAGGACAGGCACAGCCCGGCCTCAGGGCACGCACGCACCCCCCCCCCCTCGCCAGGTCGGCCAGTGGATGCAGACGTCCGGGGAGCCGTGCCTGCCCCTGAGACGTTACCTCATTATGCAAAGATGACGTAGCCTTCGTGACGACGCGGACAGACGCTGAGGCCCTCAGTGGAGCCCCTTTTCCAGGCCCGGGGGCTGCCAGGAGCGAGCCTTCCCTAAGGAGCCTTCCCTAAAGGGGCGTGCGCAGCGGGGGGCCCGCACGCTCTAACCTGATTGCCATTAAAAGCAGAGATGATAAGGTTGCGACGATGTTTGTGTCTAGCCAGCCCCGTGGCTTTCTCCCACGCGTGTGGCTTTCCACGTCCTGTTGTTATGAATGAGCATCCTCCCCGTGTGTGCAAGCATCCAGTGTGTCCATTCACGTTCTGTTCGCGGAGCTTTGTCCCTGACACGTGTAACCCCTGCAGAGGTCAGCCAGGAGGAGGACGGGCTGGAAGCCACCCTGCCCTCGGTCTCCCGCCCTAGAACCAGGTGCTGAAACCGCCTTCTCCTTCCTCCCGGCGCTCGGTTAAACCCCGATCATAGGAAGTCCCCAGCCCCACGCCCGGTTCCGCAGACACGTCTCCTTCAGGTCAGCCCATCCCCGAGGCCCTGGCGCCGCTGTGGCCCCACGTGGGGAGTCTGTCCCCCGGAGGCCCCTGTCGGTCTCCTCCTCCCCCGTGTGAGTTGGGAATTTGAAGAGAATACAGCGGGTTCGCTGCTCCCACTGGCAGGGCTGAGCCCTGACCAGGGCCCCGGTGTCCCTCTGCCATTGCATTTGCTTCATCTGCTCTGTCGGCAAACCGCACAGGAGACGGCGTTCTTACACATGTAATCTCGGCAGTGAGTGAGGCGTGTTCATTTCACAGAAGCACAATCCCTCCCGAACCATTAGGAAAGCCGTCCCAGGCCGTCACGCCCCATGCCGGTGAATTTAGTTCCGCACACACTTAGAGAGCATCGGGCAGCCGCGGGCTCAGGAAACCCCGTGGCAGGCCCGCCGCCCCCCTCAGCTGTGACTCCGGCAGCCAGAGTGCAGGCGCAGCCAGTGACCTGGGGGGTGGCCGGCAGCGTCTGCAGCCTCGAGACGCAGGCCACGCCCGCGTCAGGGCAGGAGGACACCCTCCCACGTCCCTGTCCCGGTTCGGTTCCACGTTTTCAGTTGCATTAAAAAACTCATCTTTGCAGCCTACAGTGTTTAACTGATCTCAAAATAACTGGTTTCTTAAGACACACACACACACACACACTAGATGTCTGAGGCGACGCGGAATCCATGTCTGCTCTTCCCCTTCCCAGCAACGTGAACGCGTTCTTCACATCTTTTCTTCTTTCGGGATTGTCTCTGTTCTTTTCGGGCTTGTCACCAGGAATCGGAGCTCTCTCCAGCTCGCTGGCCCTGGGACCCCTTGGCCGGTCTTAGTTTGAGTTGAAGTCTTGATCCTTGTTCTGAATCTCCGTGAGCCACCATCTGCCGTTTTGTACATGAGATAGTATTTTGAAGGTATAGGAACTTATGGGGGGGAAATTAGCTAATGAGTTCCCTCTCCCCCGGAGGGGAGCAGTGTGTTCTGCAAAGAGCGTGTCTTATTTTCCTGTTGAACAGCGATGCTATTTATTTTTTTATTGCCTAGGACTCCAGCCTGTTGTATAGCCTCCGTGGACCACTCGGTAAACCCCGACTCTCATCCGACATCTCCCTCGGACACCAGTACTCACGTCCGTTCACGTGTATTTAATGTGACTGTTTTTTTCAGTACTGTATGTGTTCATTTCTACCTTTTTTAATATTTAAAATTGCTTTTAAATAAACATATTCTCAGTTGATCCCAAACACCTGCCATCAGGCCGTTCTGTGAGCTGCCCTCTCCTCCTCCGGTTGGAGACCAGGACTCCGAGGGCGGCGGGGGGGTGGGGACAGAGGTAGCACAGGTCCTTGCAGCCCAGGTGCGAAGGCTCACTTCGGATGCGTAAAAATGTGCATCTGGCCCTGGCTGGTTTGGCCCAGTGGATAGAGCATCGGCCTGCGGACAGATGAGTCCAGGTTCGATTCCTGTCAAGAGCACATACCTGAGGTGCAGGCTCTGGCCAGGGGCATGGGGTAGGCAACCAATCAATGTCTCTCTCACTCGGTATTTCTCTCAGTTTCTCCCTCTCCCGCGCTCTTAAAAAAAAAACAAAAAAACAAAAAACAATGGAAAAAAATGTCCTCAGTGAGAATTAAATACCCTATCTAATAAAAGAATAGTATGCAAATTGACAATCATTCCAACACACAAGATGGCTAGCAGGGGAGAACAGTTGGGAGGGGCCAGGCCTGCCAGGGAGGGAAGTTGGGAGCAATCAAGCCTGAAGGGGAGGGCAGTTAGGGGTGACCAAGCCTGCAGAGGAGGGAAGTTGATATCGGCTGGACCTGCAGGGGAGAGCAGTAGGGGGACTAGGCCTGCAGGAGAGGTTGGTTAGGGTTGACCAGGCTTGCATAGGAGGACAGTTAGGGGCAATCAGGCTGGCAGGGGAGTGGTTAGGGGGTGATCAGGCTGGCAGGCAGAAGCAGTTAGGGGCAATCAGGAAGGCAGGCAGGTGAGCAGTTGGGAGCCAGCAGTCCTGGAAGAGGGATATCCCAGATTAGAGAGGATACAGGCTGGGCTGAGGGACACACACACACACCCGTGCATGTGTGTGTGTGTGTGTGTGTGTGTGTGTGTGTATATATATATATATATACATACATGTTTCCTGGTCTTACACAACATGGCCCTCTATGTTTTGCCCCCCTTTCCCACTCCCACCTCCACAGCAGCCGCGTATGACCCATTTTTCAAAAGAAAGGGGGGGTTCCTGCTCAGATCACCTGTGAATAAGTTTCTGTTAACCTGGGGCTACCTGTGGGGAGCAGACCCAGGGCCGGTCACTGGCCTGCAACTCCTCACAGCCCTAAGAGGCAGGAGCCGTCCGCTTCCTGGAGCTGGTAAATGTGGCTCCAGTTCACTTCCGGCAGGAGACGTCATCCTATATTATAAAAGCGTAATATGCAAATTGATCAAACAGCGGAAAGACTAGTTGCTATGATGCACACTGACCACCAGGAGACAGTCGCTCAACGCAGGAGCTGCCTGCAGGCCCCAGACCAGCCAAGACAGATGCCAACGCCCTCCCCGCGCGCACCCCACCCCCCACCTTATCCTGCCAGTTGCCCCACAGATCAGCCCTGGTCACCCGCCAGGCCTAAGGACCCTACGCATTTTGTGCAGGAATTCTGTGCACCGGGCCTCTAGTGGTTAATAAATGCCTGAGTGAGGAGCCCAGACACGTGGCTCTGGCTCCAAGGCCCCCACAGGGATCCTGCCACCTGGAGACCGTCCCCGCCACAACGCTCCAGCCAGTGAGAGCTGATGGGACCAGGGCATTGCAGACTGGAGTGTCTGTCGCCTTGTTTCCTTCCACCCGAGCGGGCAGGACCCACCCTGCTCAGACTGCCCGGAGGAGGGCTTGGGCCGGGGACCGACATGATTACCTGGATCCTGCAGGCAGCGGGGCACTGGGTGTCCATCTGATTATTACACGAGGGCACCATGCTGACATGGTGTAAACCTGGGACAGGGTTTGTGTGAAGTTGATGGACTCACCGTTGGAAGGCAGCCACCAGTACGCCGGGCCCCTCCGCCACAGCCCTCTCCCCATGAGCTATAGGTACATATGTCAGCCCTCTGTGAGGGAACGTCCTCCTGAGACACACCTTCCTTCAGATGAGGAGGTCACTCGCAGAGCTGGAGTGACCTCCAGGTCACAGTAAGTCCTGGGGCAGTGCCAGCCCTGGTCTCCCCGCCCTCCCCCCAGCCTGCTCTTTCCCCTAACCCTGCGTCGTCCCCCCTCCGGTGCTGTGGGTGTCCCTGTGGCTGGTGGGTGGAGGCGATAATTACTAGGGTAATTCCACCTGCTGAACTTGCCCCCTCACACACCCTCCCTCCCCTCGTGTGTCCTGAATGGCCGTCTTGTCTGCAGAGTCTGCAGATGGGCTTGCTGTCCAGCCGGGGCCTGGCTGAAGGCGTGCACCCCGCCCCACAGGGATGGGGGCCACTCCTCCACCCTGGCCTGGCCACCCACAGCCCAGCCCACAGCAGGTGAAGGTGAGGGCAGCCCAGCCACAGGGCACACCGCCCGCCCCCGAGCATTCCTTCCGCTGAGACGCTGCCAAGACTGGGTGCAAAGCTGCCAAGACTGGGTGCAAAGCCGTGCCCCACACTGGCTTCCTGAGAAGGGGAGGGTGGGGCAAGGCGATGACTCAGTAACATTCCTGGGGGCAGCTTCCTGGAGGAAACGGGGTGCACTCCTCCTGGGCCTGCAGGGGAGCAGGTGAAGGCAAGGAGCTGGGAGGGGCAGCGGGTGGCGCCGAGCCCAGGGCTCCATCAGCAGGAGCGCGTTCCTAGACAACACTCCGCAGAAGGACTCTCATCTCCCTCCTTCCCCCCTCCCCATTTTACAGTTTGGAAGGTTGAAGCTCAGGGAAGCAAAGACGAAGGTGTGACTCGCCAAAAGTCAAGTTGCTCGCGAAGCTCAGAGGCTGGACTTGAACTCTGTCTGAGGTCAGGGCCCTCCCGGCTCCCGGTGGTGACCCTGGGCTGCCCTTGCTGAGGAGAAGCGGGGTCCAAGCCCGTCACCCTCCCAGGGGCAGGTCCGCCAGCAGGTGATGGCATGGGGAGCAGCCCTCTCTCCCTCCCTCCCTTTCTTTTCTTTCTTTTTAATATATTTTTTTAAATATTTTTTATTGATTTTTTTACAGAGAGGAAGGGAGAGGAATAGAGTTAGAAACATCGATGAGAGAGAATCATTGATCAGCTGCCTCTTGCACACCTCCTACTGGGGATGTGCCTGCAACCAAGGTACTTGCCTTTGATGGGAATCGAACTTGGGACCTTTCAGTCCGCAGGCCCACGCTCTGCCACTGAGCCAAACCGGTTTCGGTTTTAATATATTTTTGTTGATTTCAGAGAGGAAGGGAGATGGAGAGAGAAAGAAATAGAAACAGGAATGGTAGGCTGCCTCCTGCTCGCCCCACCCTGTGGATGGAGCCCACAACCCGGGCATGGGCTCTGACCGGGAATCGAACCATGAGCGCCTGGTCCATAGGTCGAAGCATAACCACTGAGCCACGCCCACCCGGCGAGCATTGCGCTTTCAAAGGCCTAGGACACCCCCCGGCCGAGGTTCGGAGCCGGAGCGCGGTGCCCAGCGCTCTGTCCATTCGGAGGGACAGTCCTGACTCCCGCGCAGAGCAGCCCCCGCACAATGGGCCTCTGTCACGGGCGGCGAGCCCGGGCCCACAAGCACGCCTTGTCCGGCGGGCAGCCTCAGTTCCTGCTCAGCTGGAGCCACTTGGCAAACTCAGAGCCCGGGGCTCCGGCCGGGCCGGCTCCGGTGCCAGCCCACACCGCCCCTGCCCGGGATCCTCTCGTCCCCACCGCCGGAGGCAGCTCCGGAGCCCACGGGGCAGCAAGCACACCCAGGCCGCCCTGCCCGTGTGCCCTCTACACGCGTGCCGGCGGCCTGGGTCCACGTGCCCACCATGGGGGTCATGCCAAGGTGGGAGGTGCCAGGCTGGTGACCGGCTGGCAAGGAAGGAGGAAGGAAGCTGAGGGCAGGGAGAGAGGCAGAGGCTGGGAGCCGCGTCCAAGGAACGTGCTGGCGTGTCCAGGTCACAGTAGGACCACAGCCCGAGTGCCCAGACAGCGGGCTGGCTGAGCAAACGGGTCCTTCCTCCCAGCGTGTCCACGGTAACGAGGATGCACACGCACCCCCACCCACAGCCACGTGGACGAGCATCACACACCGTGTCGGGCCCCAGAGCCAGACTGGAAATAATTCACCTTTGATTCTCCTCCATCCTGTACGGAAATAGGGAGTCTCTATGGTTACAGGGCAGCATCACGTTTACCCAAAGTGGGACGGGAAGGGAGTGCTGCGGAGAGGAGTGTGAGGGGAGGCAGACACCACTCTCTCTTTCTCTGGGCGCAGGGCACGAGGGTTGTGCAAATTGGTACATTGATCACTTCCCCGGAGGCGAGCTGCTCCCGGTATGAAGGTGTCCGCGGCAGGCTCCTCGTGTGAGGTCCGTCTCCCTGGCAACCGGGGATGCTGAGCATCTCTCTCGTGCGTCCTGGCCATCTGTGCATCTCCTTTGGAGACGCCGCCAGCAGAGACTGGGACCATTTTGAAATCCCAGTGTCGAGCTGGAGCAGTTCGCTCTGTGTTCTAGATACGGGTCCTTCTCGGATGTGCGGTTGACGAAGCCGTCCTCCCCGTCTGCGGTTACCTCCTCCTCCCACGCCTTTGGACGCGGGCGTGCCTCCAAGGTGATGGGACGCTCAGAATCACAGCCCCACGGCTCCCGGAGCCACGCCAAGAGGCTCAGCGTGCGAGGCGGCCGAGGGCGCTCCCGGGGAGCAGTGGTTCCGGCCGTGGCCTCTGGAGTCATGGACGCGGGCCGGGGCTCTCTGGCCCAGGGTTCGATGCTGCGTGGCCCCC